GGATGCAAGCTCTGGTTAACTTTTGTAGCACGCGAGTATAGTCGTTCCCAATCCGCCGCGTATTTCAGAAGCCAAAAATAAATCACAGCAATGGTCGATATACTACCAGGACGCCGAACGCAAGCGCTGGACCACCTCGCAAGGGCCGCGTAGATTTCTTTAAAACGCATGCACGTGAAGATATCACCAAAGGGCGTCTCTTGACGAGCGTGTCGCAGACGAAAGGTGTACGGTTAGAATGAGAAGTTCTATCTTCACCTATCGAAAGGAAAGAAATCAGCACAACCGGTAGTGCTAATGAAAAGTTTTCCTGCCATTTCCAGCCGACTATATAAGCCCACTGTCGTCATAAAAGCTTAGCCAGGGACTTCATTTTCGCAGGATCTGGCTACTGTGAAAGTGATGGCATGATATAGAAGGGCAGATACAATAACCTCCATTTCAGATTATGCGCAGAATGGACATTGCTCCCGAGCGAAGGTTCCCAAGCTGGCTAACTATTCTGGGCATCGGTGTCCGCTCTCCGACGGATCGCCGTAGATCAGTCTGAGCAGTAACGGTCCGATCCGAGGAATGTCTCATTATCCTCCCCAGCCTGAAGTTTCCGGTTCCCGCTCACGGCACGGGTCGATGTCGCCGCCCCCGGCACCGGCCCGCCAGTCTAAAATCTTCGCTCTTCGCGACCAATGCAACCAACCGCTACCGACAATCGCAGCGCGTGAGTGCAAACACAGTTCGTAGCTGCGCGCCACTAACACTGCTCCAACCAACCTTTCCGACAAACGCAGCGGCATTCTCCGGACCGCCTGCGCGTACAAATGCCTCGCTCACGCAGCAACACACCGTAAAGGAAGACCCGCGCGTGGCATGTGACACAATCAATGCACGAGTGGTGGGGTAAATCCATAACGCACACGCCAATGCACGTCACTAACATCACAGCAACGCAAGCAATGATACTGATCCACCACGCCTTCAAACCCCGCGTTGAAGGCTACGTCGGTCCAAAGCCAAGCACATTCAACGCGCCAACAAAACAGCGTCCAAGCCAACCGTGACAGACGGAGGGGAAGCTGCCACGGTAAGCAGCTGCATCTTGGGCCACTTGTTTGCCATTAGTTGCAGCTCGCCACCTGCATTCTTAGCAAATTGGGAGCTTGCCTTCCATTCGTAACTGCCAGCTAGCTACCTCCGTAATGGGCCGGACGTCTGTGTATTCTCCCCTCGGATCCTGAATGACATCGAACATGGCGGAAGCACCACCTTGTTTGCCACCTGATGAGATGATAGGCTTCAGGGGGCGCCGTCTACGACTCTGTCGTCTTGCACTGACCTAGTGTGATGCGTGACTCAATCCTTCGATTGTTTACTGCGAACGGCTCGCTTTGATAACCCCACCGCACGTCACTGATTTCAGGAAGCTTCTTGCGGGGCCCACACGGTCGGCCAAGATCCAGTCGCTTGAAACGAAACGCCACCGGCCACGCGGCGCGAGAGGCTTTGCACGGCATCGTCGTGAATCTCTTCCCATGTCTCCAGGTGCGTTGGTGTTATGCTTCACTCTAAGCCGTATGCAGTGATGGAGTATCGTGGATGGCACGCAACAGCTCGAGGACTTCGTCCACCGACGGCCGTCTGCAGCCCAAGCTCACTGAGCTTTCTCTTATGTCTCCCGTCTCCATTGTGTGGCCCCGGCGGCACGCACTCACTTGACAGGAGCCAGCAACGAATCTGTGGCAAATGTGAATCGATACACACTTGCTGCTACAACAGCCACCACTTCCATTGTGTACCATACAGATACGCAGCTTGTCATACACCTCGGCGCTCCGAATGTGCGGCGACGCCTTGCGCAGCGCTGCGAGCAGGGAAGTGCTGCTGTCCCGTGGCCGTGTGCCCGCTGGCCTGCAGCACGTGCCGGTTGTGCGCCGAGGTCAGCTCGTGACCTCTGCTACACGTCTGACGGCGACAGGCGCCGGCCACGTAGTGCGGACAGATGTGGAGGGCGGCGCAGGTGGCCTCCGGACACGACAGGCCGGCGCTGTACCTTGGGCACACGGCCGGACGCGCCGCCGTGTCGGTACTCTCGCGCAGACCCTGGGCGTTGGGCGGCGCATCTGCCGGTGTCGACTGCACGCTCGCAGCTTTGGGCTGCGTCTCGAGGGGTTGTGCGGTCGCACCGATGGATTTCGGGACGGTGTCGCCAAGCTTGGACGGCGCGCCTGCGGACCTCGCGTACGTGCCGGGCTGCAGACCCATCTTGGCTCGGAGCAGCTCCAGCAGGTCACCTTCGGTGGCCCAGACGGCCGCCTGGCCGGCGCTGGACGCCGCCAGGCCCAGCAAGTCACGCACGCGCCCGTTGTGCTCGCCGTCCAGACTGTGGCTCAGGTGGCACTCAGCCTTGACGCATGTACCACCCAGAAACCGGTGACACACGTGGAACCGACCGCAGCAGCCGGCCTTGGTGCAGCCGCCCGCGGAGTTGTACGGTATGCACATCTGCACCTTCTTCTCGGCCCCGTTCTGGAAGGTGACGCGCTCCTGCAGCGCGATCTTGTCCAGAAGCGTCTGGAGCTCCTCTGGCGAGTTGCCCTGCAAGCCGAGCCGCCTCAGGACGTCCATGTTGTGGTCCGTTTCGAATGAGTGACCCAGCGCGCACGTGTCGCGCGGTCGCCGACACAGGCTGACCAGGAAGTAGCCGCACACGTGGAAACCCATCGCATGCCTTCCCCTCGCAGCGGCTGCCGGACGAGTGCACGGCACAGAGCGAAGGTGTGGCAGCCGCAGCGGCAGCCGGCGACGGAGCAGCCGAACTCTGTCCGTTGGAGGACACCATGCCGCCAGAGAACCTGCCAGCGTCGGACGGTCCATGCAAGGGGGTGAGCGAGGATCTCTCGGACACGGAGCCGCGCCACGTGTCTTTATCGCTGGGAGGCACGTTCAAAATGTCTTTAATCTGCTTGGCCGTGAGCGCTTCCTGCATCACCCGACGAACGATGGCCGCTGTGGCCGGGCTATTCAGTTGATGGGACAGACCGCACCGGTCCCACTTTTGCAGGCGTCGGCGACATAACCCTTACACACGTGAATGCACGGACAGCTGGCAGCGGCACACGTGCCCTCTTGGTACGGGCGGCAAATCTGAAGGATAAACCCACGCTCGTTTTTAGTTAGTGGTGGCGGGCAAGATACCCGTCCCGAAGAGCCCCCAACAGGGCCTTCTCACTGAGCGAGTGCACCTGGTGGCGGCATAGCACGCTGAGGTTGTGCTCTGATGTCTTGAGCCCGTGACCATTTTCTACAATTTTCTTCGCATGGACACAACCCAGCGACGAAGAAACGGCACAGGTGCAGCCTAGAGCACGTCTCCGCGAGGCACGTGGACGGGTGGACGCTGTTCCGACAGACATCCAGCCGCCGCGGCTCGCGCCTTCGCATCATCCCCCACTGGATGGTGGGAAGTCACCGGGGCGACCGGCGGCGGCGCGGCTGCCAGCGCGCCCGCCGGAGCGAAGGACGTCCCCGGGCCGGTGGGCTCCTCCGGCCGAGCTATGTCCGTCAGAGGACTCGAGCTCGACGGAGCTGGAAGGACGACGTGAAGAGGCTTCCGAGGACCTCTCCGGGGCTGCGACGACCTTGATGTTTTTCGTGGTTGGACGGTCCTTTAGAATGGCTTTGATGTTTTTGCTTGAGAGCGGTTTCAGCATCACTCGTCGGACGATCGCCCCAATGGCCGGGTCGTTTAGCTGATGGGACAGCCCACACTTGGAGCTGCCTCCGCACGCATCGATAAGATACTTCTCGCATACGTGGAGCCGAGGGCAGTCGACCGCGGTGCAAGCTTTCCCTTGGTAGGGGCGGCACACCTGCAGGATGTAACGACGCTCCAATGTCGTCAGTGGATTGCGGACCAAGTATCCGGACTGAAGAGCCTTCAGCAGACACGCCTCACTGAGTGACTGCGCGCGATGAGCACCCAACACGCCCAAGTTGTGCTCTGATGTTTTAAGGCGGTGGCCACTCAAACACTGGTCACCGAACGGACACACTCCAGCGATGTAGAAGCGGCACAGGTGCAGCTCGGAACAGGCGAGATTGCGACATTTGAGTGGGTAGACGTTGCATGGACAGAGGCTCAGCGCCGCGGCCAGCGTTTTCATCTCTTCTGCCGTTGGTTTGTCGCCTAATGCTGTCGGCGTATCCGTCGCTGGCGTCGCACCTGGCTCACCGACAGACGTCTGCCAGCTACTCCGGTGATCAGAGCCGATGTCGGCAACGGAAGACGCGCCGTTTATGCCGCTGCCCCCGCCGACAGCCGACCATTTCGGGGTGTCGGTGGGAACTGCACCGCCGCGGCCGCCAGCGCTAGCCGGCTGTCGGGCCGGACTGTCACGCGCGCGGACGCCACCGGACTCGTCCGCCGCGCCGCCTGGCAAACCCCTGTCGTCGGAGCAGCCGTCTACCCCCTCGGTGTCGTCCGGCGGTCGCGCCAGCCGCGCCAACACCTCGGTCTCAGTCAGGCTGGCGCACCGCAGCCGCAGCAGCACCATCACGTTGTCCGGATCGTCGAGCTGGTGGCTCCAGCGGCAGGCGGCGCCGGCCGGGCAGCGGCCGGCCGCCAGACGCGGGCACAGGTGCAGCCGGAAACAGTCAGTCCGCCGGCAGTCGGCGGCGGCGGCGTATTCAGCGCACAGCGCCAGCTCGCTGCTGGTACTCGTCAGCCGGGACGGGCGCCGTGCGGCGCAGCAGCGCGCGCACCAGCCAGAGCAGCTCCTGCTCAGGCAGCGCCTGCAGCTGGAACGCCTCGAGCGCGGCCCAGTTGTCGGCCGACAGCACCGTGTGGCCCCAGCGGCAGGCGGCGTCGCCGCGCGGGCAGAAGCCGTCCACGTACAGCCGGCAGAGGTGGAGCGCCTGGCACGGCCGCTGGTCGCAGAGCAGCGGCGGCCGGTGGCGCGCGCACAGGGCGGGCGCCGCGCGCGCCGGCCGGCCGCCGCCGCGTCGCTCCGGTGCCGAGATGCTGAGCGCGGCCATGGAGGCGGCCAGCGTCCGGCTGTGGTGAGGGTGGGCTGCGCTGCTCGCCGACTCCGAGCCCGAGTCCTGCCGAGCAGAACAGCGGCCGGTCAGGCGGCGGGCGCGGACACGCTGACCGTGTCGCAGGCTCACCTGCTCAGCCAGAGCCGCACGGACGGGCCGAGCTCGAGTCTCGGGAACTCACGCAGCGCCAGCGCAAGTTGTCGGCCCGCGACGGGGCTGGGTGGGCCGGATTCGTGCGTTCCAATTACGAGAGCTAGAACAGTCCCTTCGCGCCGGTCTTTCAAAAGAACCGCCTCCGAGCTCTTCCCGTCAAACGCAATGCGCACTCCAACGTACGGTTCTCATTTCTTATTGTAGAAGAGGGCTAAAAAGGGGCCAGGGCTCTTGACTTGGTCAAGCCAACCACCAGGAGAACAAGTGATATTTTTAACATCATTTTCATACCGAGTTTTTGTTTGAATTTGACCCATATGTCGGACCAATCTCACCCCACCCTGAAATGACGAGCATATTGGGCCGATTTCTCGTTCGTGTCGATTTCGATTTCTCGATTTCTCGTTCGCGAGCGGCGCTGACAGACGGCTCTGTGCAACGTGCGCCCCCAGTCAGAGCATCACAGCTGGCGCGCCGCCGGAGTCACGGAGAGAGACGGCAGATACTGACCCTCGTGGTCTGCTTCGGTGCGGTCTGCTCCGGCTCTGCCCAGGGTTTTGCGCCCTCGCCCCTGCCGCCGAACATTCGCCGTCAGCAGACCGTTTTCACACATGTACGCGCTCGCCACAGAAACTGAAGGTCACCAAGACATCATAACAAACGCTTGAAGATTTCGCCTAGCATGACAGCACAATGCATAAGGCATGCAAAATAAAATAAATGCACTACAAATACACACCAGTAAGACGCCTTTCGCGGTGCAGGCCAAAAGCAACGATAATAGGCCATAGTATTAGCATGTAGACAAAGTCAAAACATAAATTAATGAAGTTGTAGATTTTGGTGACACTAATAATTTAGTTGCCACTATGCCACTATGACATATTTGTCTTCTGGTTTCGGGAAGCAAACATTTCCAGCGGATATCGGTCACAGTGGCCTTGAGTAATTAATTACGCGGTTACCATCGTCCAGTCCATCACAGTTCAGGCCAGAAAACGACATATTCCTCGTCGCTTCTCAGACGATATTGGCGCACCTACGGCCTCGACCAGGGCAATATGACACCAGGACACTCCCCCCCCCCCCCCCCCTTCCCCGACAGCGTCCAGACCACTTCGCGAATTGCAGGCGGTACATTCGTCTACGTCGCACTGTTGCTTGCACTTCTTGATTTCCCCTGGCTGCCGAAATCTGATAGAAATCCTTAAAAACCCACAAGTGCCGGTCAGCGCTACGCACACGAGACGAAGTCAAAGCATGCAAAATGTGTTTGACCAAAACCCAGCATGCCCGTGCGTGTGTTCTTGCTTGGAACGGATTCACCAAACTTTTCACGGCTGTAACAATGCGGCCATATCTCCGGACCACCTCAGGCAGACGCATGGTGCCCCATGATTCGTGATAGAGTAATGAGTCCCCGCCTGTATCTCATCTTCATGTACGTCAGAAACGCCCAGCTATTCTAGTGATCCACAAACCAGCTTGTATCCACACGGTAATCGCGTGCCTTCTAGGTCATATGATCATGAACATACGGGCTCTGAAGGCAGCCATTGTTATGAATCATCAATTTGTTTTTAATTATTATTATTGGCATCCATTAAGTTTCAAGCGTAAGGGCTTCTGTATAGCTTCTTTAAGCTTCTGCATACGCAACGTATAATCTTCTGCTTGTTTCCGCCTTTTCTTTCGATTTCGATGGTCGATCACCTGCACGTGAGGATGTCTCAAGAATTCCAGTTCAACATATGACGTCATTCGATAATTCGCTATAATCCCGAAAGCTGCGGGCGTCAGACTATGTGGACGGCCGTCTTCAAGCATCCTCTGCTCACTTTCGTTTTTTTCAAAATATTTCTCTGACGTTTCACGATACCTAGCGGTTTTTGTGACAGTGGTAAAGATGAATTATGTCACGTAAGAGGCGCGGAAACTATTGATATCATTGCGCGTGATATCACACTACTGACACGACAATGCTCGTTATGTAAAGTAACACTGATAGTGGTAAGAGGGAAACGAGATCATTCCAAAGCCGTAGTGCAGAATTTGTCCGTGTTGTTGCATGATGTATCCACTTCGAGAGCGCAAACACCAAGTGTCCATGTTCGTGGTCGGGACAACAGGTGTTTGTGTACAAGGAAACTGAAGGGATTTCTCCCCAGTTTAAAATATCAAACATTGTGTTTCTCTACTCATCCATGTCCATCTCCTCGTCCATGTTTATCTCTCATCCATCAGGTGGTTTAAGAATTACGTAGATGAACCGCAAGGGTGTATTTTCTGAAAAATTGTGATGAGGGTTCCAATTTGAATTTCAACTCTCTCCTCACTTGTGCTTCTAAATTCAAAAATGCAAAAGTGCCATGGAAATGTCATGACCCAGATGATGTTATGACCGTTTAAGCCCCGTCACTGGTGAAAGGAAGACAAGCAGAGGCGTAGATTCGCCAAATGTGTTACAGGCTGGACACTGAAAAATGACCCAGCCTGCCCTCCAGTTATGCCAATAAATGGTTTCTCCTCGGATTTCACCCACTTTATTTCCAAAGCTGGGGAAGATGAAGCCCAAGTTGGGAGGGGGCTTAAGCCCAAGCTGAGTGAAGCTGAAGTCCCCTCCCCCAACTGAGTGATAAACTACACCCCTGAGAACAAGATTGTGTACTAGACGACAGTGAAAATATATTTGATGTACATGTTATGTAAAGGTCAAACAAAAAATACATGAAATACGTTTGTGCCTAGCTCAATAGTTGCGATTTTATGCGGGTCCAAACTATTCTTCCACGACCCATCTTTCGCGTGGCGCAGTATCTAGCTCGGGTGGCACCTTATGTGTTTGTGCGGTTTTGAAACAAAGTACTATGAACTCATCGATATCCGGACAAGGAAACCAAAGTCCGGAACATGAGCTAGATGCCTTGAGAAAGGCGTGCTCTTTTATGATGTATTCGTTACTTTCTTTCCCGTATTGGAGGTAGTTTCATGTCAAGTAGCCGAAAATAACCCGTTTCATGCATGAAACTCTGCGAAGAAAAGAACGTTGATATTGGCGGCATTTTTATAATTCATGTTGCTCTTTTTGCATGTATCTGGGCTGCTTTTTCCAACCTATATGAGAAGTACGTGTGCAAAGACCGAGTTACGTGTAAACATCAAGGACACGACCTGAGCCTCTATTTAAATGTTACTCAACTCTGTGTACAAACCTGTTTGCTTCCTCTATAACGAAGCTCTTTGATTTCCCGGCGTGTTGTAACGCAACTTGTCCCCGGTTAGTTTGCATAGGTTCAAAATATTTTCTACGCCAGAAAGTTATTGAAGATAACAATATTTGAAAATCGACGGAAAACTACTTTCCAGGCAACTTGTTCTGTTCATCCATGTTTGGAAGATTACGCCATATCAACCATGGACAGTACAGCGACAAAGAAGCGCTTCTCGTAGCGTCTAGGATGTAAGTGTTCAGGATACGTCACCGTTCAAGTCATAACCAACTTCATTTGTTATATTGACGTCATTCTGGCTACTTGGCCGTACGAACACCAACAAAGTGGGTAAACAGCCACAGCTTTTCGACAAATGATTTCTGATTTGCCCTGTGTGGCGCCAGTGCTGACAAATTAGACATCATTGGATGCTTAATATGATATGAGCAATATGATATATGACTCCCAATATGAGTAAGATGTTGACACCAAGTTTGAAACGATTCATCAGTTGTATGAAAATTAGAATATCAAAACTAAACCATAGTTCCTTTTTCATTACAGGGTGTGGAAAACACGATCCTTGTAAAGATAATTTAATTTCAAAGCTTGGATCATATTTTGACTAAGTCAATGCGCACCTGTGACACATGGTTTATAAGCTGAGAAATTACCCTACCCCTCCGATTTTCCTGTGTGACTTTGGGACCACTCGCGAAAGTGCCGACAACTTTGTCTTGAAATCGACAGATACTTTTGACAATTTGATGGAAGAGAACGTTTCAAGTCGGGTCTCGTCACGTGCTTGTGACGTCACCAGGAAAGGACCGCATGACGACTGGCGCGCTTTAAGAAAAAGAAGCTTACAAAGCAGAATGCGGAGTCTAGCAATGCGCCAAAATTCGCAGTGGTGTTAGTTCTTACAGTCGGCAAAGCGTGACATCTCTGCAAAGCTGTCGGCCAGTGGCCGGCACACCTTTGCGATTTCTAGCAATAAATAATACAAGTATTCACAAACGTGGCGATGCCGCACGACTTCGAAGGCGTCAATGACATGGCGGCGAGGCCTGTTCAAAATGGAAAGCCTTGGCCGAACGCCGGAGGCCTGCATCAGTCAGCATGTGACGGTAACGAACCTGTAGGTGGTCAATAAAAAGCTCTCGCAGCTTAAAAACCTCACTACTCATGATGTGAAAAGGAACTTAGGGTGTCGACATGTTTTTCTCAGGGCTCAAAAACACAAAATCTCAAATATGTTGGCTCCAAAATTCACGCACGCCTTGCAATCCCCAACAGACCACCGACCGCAGATCACGCGAGCACGAAATCTACACTTCTGCCGCCACCTAAAGTAGCTTGGGCTTTGTTTGGACGAGCCAAAGAAATTTGAAATGTCTGTTCACAAAGGCGTTTTTTTTGGGGGGGGGGGTTGTTGGAAGCTCGCCAAAAAGCAGTTGACGTCAGGGGAAAAAGTGTGACGCGCCATACATTCAGAGTGGTGGTCCAAATGGGGTCGACATGGATTGCTCGTCGCGATGGTAGTCACGGCGATGGTTCAAATGTCCGCTTAAACCATCTTTAATATTCGGGCACACAAGATACTTGCGCTCGTAAACCACCGATACGTGCCTACAAAGATGACAAAGCTACGCTTAGCGCCACACATCCAAGCATGCAACCGAAATCCCTTGGATCCTCTTCTCTTGCAACTAATAAAGCTTTACCTCCTGGTTTTTCGGCAGTATGAGGTCATTAAGTGCATCGCTATTTTTATTGAGTTCACTATGAGTTCTTATGCTGAGTTATTGACCTTCCACATACCAGGAGCGACGAGTTAAACGACATTATAGAACAAACATTGGTTACATAGCCAAAATTCAGCATTTCAACCTGTGCTTATGATTACGAGTCCCAAGGATTAGTGATCATGTCCACTCCTGACATTTTTGCTAGCTTGGCTTATGATCACAAGATCCAAGGACTCGCGATCATGAACGCAGCTTAAAACGTTAATCATTGGCAATACAACACATATATGTCTCATAACGTCGTTTGACCAGCTCTCCTGGCATACTGAAGGTTGATAAGTCAGCATAACATTTATGAACACATAACTCCTTTTCTCCAAGAGAAGACCCGGCTTGACTAGGTGGAAATGGGAGGAGGAAGTATACGCTGCGCAGCGGCAATAGCTGTCGAAAGGTAGGATACATTCAGCAAAGGCGTGGTGTACACAGATGCGCGCTTCAAAGCCTGGGGCTAATACGCGCGCTCGATGCGCTTAAAAAGCGTTTGGTTGAACAGATTACTACATTGGTTTATTGGGCCAAAGTCCAACGCCGATTGGGCTTGGGCCGAGCCCAGCTTGGGTTTACTTGGAGTAGTTCCAGCAGATTCCGGACACCCAAATGGTTAATCGGGTTTCTTGGCCAAAACCCTCCACACCCCGTACCATGAACTGGACTCGGGTTCTCTCAGTCTGAACCCAACCTAAACCAAACACGTTCAATCCCGGCCAAACCAAAACCCAGCCAAACTGTTGGCTGGGACAAAGCTGGCAGAAAGCTTGCAAGCCTTGGTCAGCCTAACATAGCCAGGCCAGGAAGTGTCTGCGCAGTAGACCTCAGAAGTTGGTATTGAGATCGGATCGATCCTCGATTCCTGGGCCTTGGATCTTTCAAGATCCAGCACGAAGTTGGAAATGTTGTCAAATCATCTGCTGGCAGGTGGGATCCATCTATGAATTTTATCGAGACCTTCCAATAAATTGGAGCTTATTTAGAATTTTGTCAAAGTATCTCCTAGCATCTTAGAAATTCCTATGGTTTTGTGAAAGGATCTTTTGAGACCCAGAATATTTCTATCACAGCCATATTTCCTCTGACAAGTAAGCTACGCCATTTCGCTGCAGGTCTTGATCAGGCACACGCAGCCACCGGTCGGGTACCTGGGGGTCTCTGGCGTCCCACGGCCGTTCAACTCCACAGCGTGGCGGGTGCTGGGGCGTCGCGGTTGGTTTACCACACGGGGCTGCCGCGAATGCTTGACCTCCACCGACCGGCACCTTTCGGCTGAGCTGAAATGATGCAGATACAGGTCGGCTCCCTGACAGTGTGCTGTTTGTTACTCACACGTGACCCCTGCCAGTCAGAGGTCAGTGACCTCTGTCCTGGCACTGGTCATGGCAGTGGCAGGGTCAAATCAGAGAACGCATGATCATCCACATAACAGCAACCTCAATTGTAAAGAACCTCCAAAATGGTGAAGGCTTGTCAGGAATCTAAGCGTTGTTCACGTTTTACATGTGTCGCCATTGTTCCATCAGTACGCATGCACGTTTCAACAAGAACACCTCGGTGGACCGTATGACTGAAGAATAATAAAGTATCAGCCAACCAGAAGAAGTCATTACTAACCTGCTCCAGAGTGCTTCTTGATGTTTATGTTCTTTATCTTCAGTCCGGCCTTCGGTTTTTGTTTGCTCTTCTGTCGACTCACAAGAGAAGCAATGTGAGCAACGCTTTGGTCCGGTACGTGTTCCACCAGCGTTTCCGTTCCATCTTTGGTCAACTGCGGGCCAGATAATTGGAGGTAGTCAGCACCAAAACCGCATGCAGCTGCCCAATATGACTGAAAATGTAATGCTTCTTTTAATGTCAGAATTATCCAACGTGTGCGTTCACTATCAACATATTCATTGTTCCTCACCCAAACCAAATTTTTGTCATGCAGCTAACCTAGAAAAGTGCTTATAAAATATAGCAACACAAAATCAGAGACCCAAAAAGGCAATCACACCAAGCAATAGATTGTCTCTGGATGATTCACTATTAAAGGGCCTGTTCCTCATTTGTTCCTCATTTTGTCATGCAGCTAACCTAGAAAAGTGCTTATAAAATATAGCAACACAAAATCAGAGACCCAAAAAAGCAATCACACCTAAGCAATAGATTGTCTCTGGATGATTCACTATTAAAAGGCCTGTTCCTCATTTGTTCCTCATTGGTTTTCAGCTGACGTAGCTTTGAGACCTAAACCTCTCTAGTTGCTGAGCCATAAGCCTGCAGACATGTATAGACTATTCTGTGTAGACTTTTCAAGGTCTATCAGGCATTCATGATGCCACAATAACATCATTCAAATCCTGTCATTCAATGGCCATGCGGCGATCTAGGCCAAGAAAAAATATTGTCGCATCGTTCATATCTGGCCCTCGTGAGCACCACTTCCAGATGTAACGGCCGTCCTTTGGCTCTCAATCAACATTGTACAAGGTACGATGACGCGATCAAAGAGTGACGTATTGAGGAGCATCTGTACCAAATAGAGAAGTGATGTTGTCTGGAGCAGTCTTTTCCACTTAAAGTTATACGAACACTTATAAGCGAGTGCTTTCATCATATCCGATGCTCGCTTTCATATCTTCAAAAAAGGAACATTCCCTTTCAGGCAACCGCATCACATCGTAAGGACACATAACGATAAGTAAAATAGCATGATAAGCTGTGGGCAAGTTCATCGAACAAATGACAATCAGTTCTAGTACCGGACTTTTGGCCAATCGATGCAATAGCATTGCATTCGGATAGGACTAAATGTTGTATGAAGTCGATGTGATCTAGATCTGACTCTTGTCTCCACGTTTAGTGGCAAATACGCGCAAACACACCAGTTCGATGGCGCGCACGCGCAATACACGCAAACACTAGAAACACAGATGGCGGAAAATGGGTTCAACCCTGATGAGTTGCAAACGGATATATGTTGCTTTTTACAGAGACAGAGGTAGAGGCAGAGGCAGCAAGGCAGCGAGGTCATGCAGCGAGCTCGTGCAATGCACAGTCGGCTTAGACAGTTCTTTTCCAATACTTCCCGTTGTCGTTTCGTGATGTATTAATTAATTCGTAATTATGTGTATATATATATATATATATATATATATATATCATTTTCCTTTCGGGGACAACTTTCCTACTTTATCCAGTGAGTAAATATTTGGCATTTGTAAAGAACAGTCAAACAGATATCTCTGACCGAACGGCACCAGTCCTGGAAGCTCAGTTAGCTGGAACGCTTGCCTTGGGATTCATCCACCGTAGTGGGGCGGGTTCGCGTCGCTTTAAGTACTCGCTATTTGACCCCAATTGGGATGGCCTGCGGCCGCCAGCAGCGGCTGCCTGAATACCACGCGCTCGGGCGGGCGTCAGTTTTTCCCCTTGGGATATCAAAAACTAAGAGAGTTAGAGATACCAACTTCATAGGCCGCCTTGGCCTGTGTGAGCTCACTTGTGCCAAAATCGGAGACTCCTAGGCCCTCACCTTCGGGTCACATGAGGTCAAACAGGATCAAACTCTAGATTAATGCCCAAAGTGACCCCGACCTTCTCATCCAACCGCTTTGGACCTAGGTACCTGCCCTAAGCAAAAGGTCAATGGTTTCCATTTTTCAGCGACTTTGTTTGACATTTAGAAGGGCATGGTAACCAAAAACCTACAATATTGCTTCGATTTCGAATCTGAATATGCAAAAAAGATTGCGCTATGCAACATACTCTAAAAAACAAGAGGTTGGCTTGGGTCATTTCAGGTCAGTGACATACTATGACCTTTAAATAGTCTATGGAAGATGTCTACTGCGGTCCCTGTAATCAAGGAATCCGGAATGAGCATCAGAAACTACCCCAGAAGGCACCCTCGCCAGTAAAAAGGTAGGTTGGTTCTGACCCCGGAGTGACCTTCATGCCAGACCCAACGCCAATCAAGTTTTTCGTTGACTAATTCAATTGCCTGTTATCTGAGAAACCATGCCAGTGATGCATGACCTCATTTAACACTCCATTGTCGGATCAGATTGAACGATTCCCTTGAAAATGTCATCACTGATAGCCACGGCCTGACTTTGACCTGTCATAGGTCAACGCCTCACAGGGTACATCTAATTTTGCGTACCAAAAGATCCGTTGTTCCATTGCCTACAACTATACAACGTTTGGCGGTGCTACGCCCCGTCCATCGCAAATTACTCTGCAAAAACTTCGGAGGAATCAAACTGACCAACCACCCGAGCGCGTGTTAAGCTTTCACTGCAACATTCTGCCGTGGAAACGAAATTCTTCCGATCAAATGGTGAGGCTAGGGCTCACAAAACAAACGCTGCCCGGCGCGGCATCCCAGAAATCGATTTGAAGGAACCCAGAAATCCAATCCAGGAGAGAACGCCTCGCTGAAATGCAAGAGAAAGCCGTGAAAGGGCTGGTCATTGCGGGGATGACCTCATCCTCCACATCTTGCAAAGCCTGAAGCTTCTGCCATATCAGACCACTGATATCGACATGCCAGCACAGTTCCCTGTCGTTATCGAACTTGAGAGGACCAATGGTCACGGTCTCTGCAGGAGACCGTGACAATCTTTGCGGTCACTTATCGTGCAATCATGCAGTTTTTAAACGCATGCGAACTAGCACAACTGGTTCACATGTCCGGCAACAATGCCAGGTCATTTGAACGGATGCTATCTTACACGGCGCACTTTTCTTGCGACCTTGCAATGTAACCAAATTGAAAGAAGCCCATGCGGAATGCTATCTCCTAACGCAACTATTTCCAACAGCCGCTACAGGCATGAAGTGTTTTCATTCTGATCCCCATGCACAAAAGTATGACATTGGTTACATAACTGGGATCTCTAATCCGTTCATGAGCAGTGGGTGGTTTTGTGTTTTCTCCTCATGCAGCATAGCTACAAGCACCGTGACATTCGAAGCCAATCCAGAGGACCACGTGCAGAAATAAGAACGGCGGAAAGCAGCATGACAGAGCTAGCGGAACAATGGGACTCGCAATTCACGCGTCTACTGTCCACGACAACCAAGATCATGCCAGATCGCCGTTCATGTCTTTGCTACGAGCTGCTGTAAATAATGCAGTATTTCTTACTATAGGATTAACTTCACAGGCATTCTGCACCGCTTCTTACAAACGTCACACCGCGTAACATGGTTCATCTAACGCGCTGGCACATGAGGTCGCAAGGCAAGCAAGCCCGTTCACAGATGTGTTTGGCTGGGTGCTGTGGACGTGCGCACGTTCAGTATCATGTTCTGACTGCGATAGGACCTCCACAGCGCGATGTAAGTTGTGTGACGTCAAGCACTTCGCGGCAAGATTCTCATGGCGCGGGTGGTCAACAGCCAGAAGCATTAGTTTGAGGGCCTCAGCCATCGCTGCTGAAAACAAGCTATGATAAGCGCTTCGCCTCGCCACTCCGACCCGCCCAGTCACCCCTCAGGTGTCTCTCAGTGCCGGCCCGCCCAGTCATCCCTCGGGTATCTGCCGGCCCGCCCAGTCATCCCTCGGGTATCTCTCAGTGCCGGCCCGCCCAGTCACCCCTCAGGTGTCTCTCAGTGCCGGCCCGCCCAGTCATCCCTCGGGTATCTGCCGGCCCGCCCAGTCATCCCTCGGGTATCTCTCAGTGCCGGCCCCCGCCCAGTCACCCCAGGTGTCTCTCAGTGCCGGCCCGCCCAGTCATCCCTCGGGTATCTGCCGGCCCGCCCAGTCATCCCTCGGGTATCTCTCAGTGCCGGCCCGCCCAGTCATCCCTCAGGTGTCTCTCAGTGCCGGCCCGCCCAGTCATCCCTCAGGTGTCTCTCAGTGCCGGCCCGCCCAGTCATCCCTCGGGTATCTGCCGGCCCGCCCAGTCATCCCTCGGGTATCTCTCAGTGCCGGCCCGCCCAGTCATCCCTCGGGTATCTCTCAGTGCCGGCCTGCCCAGTCATCCCTCAGGTATCTCTCAGTGCCGGCCCGCCCAGTCACCTCTCAGGTGTCTCTCAGTGCCGGCCCGCCCAGTCATCTCTCAGGTGTCTCTCAGTGCCGGCCCGCCCAGTCATCCCTCAGGTGTCTCTCAGTGCCGGCCCGCCCAGTCATCCCTCAGGTGTCTCTCAGTGCCGGCCCGCCCAGTCATCCCTCAGGTGTCTCTCAGTGCCGGCCCCGCCCAGTCATCCCTCGGGTATCTCTCAGTGCCGGCCTGCACAGTCATCTCGGGTATCTCTCAGTGCCGGCCCCGCCCAGTCATCCCTCAGGTGTCTCTCAGTGCCGGCCGCCCAGTCACCCCCTCAGACATCTCTCAGTGCCGGCCCGCCCAGTCATCCCTCGGGTATCTCTCAGTGCCGGCCCCGCCCAGTCATCCCTCGGGTATCTCTCAGTGCCGGCCCGCCCAGCCATCCCTCGGGTATCTGCCGGCCCGCCCAGTCATCCCTCAGGTTATCTCTCAGTGCCGGCCTGCCAGTCATCTCTCAGGTGTCTCTCAGCGTGTCAGTCCCGCCCAGTCCCGCCCAGCTCAGGTGTCTCTCCGTGCGTCGGTTCTAAGCAAGGAGACTGCTTGCGCTTCTATCGGAGATCCACACACAACACAGATACAGATGTAATGTATAGATATACAGATACAATACGGACTCAGATTAAAAAAAATAGATATGCGTACACCATAAAGTTAGGAGAGCATAGCGCTGACAGAGCAGCTCTGCATTGTATCCGTCCCAGCCTATCGCATCCTAGCGAGGAGACCGCGTCGGCCCCGGAGAAAGGTTACACCCAATGAGAAACTGCTTCATCTTACCCGCACTGTATCCGGTATGGAACGGAGAAACAGATCCAGCGTTTGGAAGCCACGCTCTTGGAACGGTATTGGCGATCCCACCAGGTCCTCGAAATCCCCTGAAAGTTTGCGGATCGGCTTAGGCCCTGTACGAGTTAAAGCGAAAAGCTGTGGGCAAATACACGTACTTGTACGCATGTGCGAACTCCTCTCGGGGGTTCGCACATTCGAGAACGGTGTTGGATCAGGATAATGCACTTGGGCCACAGGGTTGGTGATAAGTTGCGTTGCGTTGCGTGCTGCTGAAACACTCTCAAGTGTCAAGGATGTGAAATGTGCACAGGTGCGGCGCACAACAGTAACTTTCGCCGAAACCATGTAAAGACACCACATGGCCTCACCTGGCATAGTCACCCATTTGGAAACCATCGTCGCCGTCTTGCACACAGCACACGACCTCATCGCTCTATTTTTCTAGGATACGGGAACCTGGCGTCCCTAAAAGCAGCTACATAGTCCGACAAACTGTCAGATAATAAGAACATGACTGAACCACTGAGCTTCTTTCCGGCTCAGGGCCCCGTAGTGCCATGGCCGGCGTTACAGCGCCGTTACACCACGGCACCCCGTTACAACACCGTTACGCCACGGTGTCCCGTAACAACGCCGTTACACCACGGTGTCCCGTTACAACGCCGTTACGCCACCGCATCCCGTTACAACACCGTTACACCACGGCACCCCGTTATAACACAGTTACACCACGGCACCCCGTTATAACGCCGTTACACCAGTGTCCCGTTATAACGCCGTTACGCCCCGGCGTCTCGTTACAACGCCGTTACACCACGGCACCCCGTTATAACACGTTACACCACGGTGTCCCGTTACAACGTCGTTACACCACGGCGTCCCGTTACAACACCGTTACACCACGGCGTCCCGTTACAACGCTGTTACACCACGGCACCCCGTTACGACAGTGCCAACTTACTGCCAAGCCTTAGTACAACTAGTGTGCACTAACAGCCCGAAGCGCCCATGAAGAGAACGACAGATGTTACAGAGACTGGGGGCGGATGCCGGCATTGCCGCCACAGGAGCGTTACGTCACACTTAGCAGATAAGGATACACAGCGTCACCCGCCTCTCACGTCAGCAGGAGGGACGGCCACAGGAGCATGACGTCACACTTAGCAGGTAAGGACACACAGCGTCACCCGCCTCTCACGTCAGCAGGAGGGACGGGCATCACTTGGAGGCGAACTCCGTGCCTCTGGTCTCACAAAGGCATAGCTTGACCATTGCACTACCCACATCTTCTCAGGAGTAAGTACTGTGACTTTACGCACGAGAGCTTTAAACCATGACACGAGCTATAAAACAATTATCTGGGGGCATGAGCGCAAAGTGTGCAGTTGTCAAACGTGCCTGCCATCATAACTGGTTCTTTACAAAACGAGTCTAGTTGCAATATAAGCAACGAAGAGTGGTAATGATAATAGGGCTATCGTACAGTGCGGATAATAGTAGCCGTAATAATAGCAATAGCACTTGCAAACGCTTATGGTTATCATAACAATAGTACTAGTAAATAGTAAAAGTAACAATAATAAAGGTAATATTAATAGTACTAATACCTAGCAAAAAAAATCAACAGACGCAGCTTTCTGCATGACGTGAAATGATCGAGAAATAAAGATTAAGTTATGCCTTGTAAAATAACATTTGACTCAAACCTACAGGTTTGTTTAATCCGTCAATCAGGACATTGCACATGTTGTACTTCTCTCAACTACACTTGCATATATGGCATCGCCTAAGTACACGCATTTGCCACAAGCGGCGGTCCATAAATCACATCACGCATGCAGAAAGGCAGGGAAGGTCTTGATGGAGCGTAACGGAAGCGCGGCAAGAGAGGGAGGAGGTTTGGTGCAGGGTAACGTTATGGTCATGTGTGGCTGTGTCATCCTAGACTTGAAAATAGCAACAACAAAATGCGTAACGACATTCATGGACGGCTCCTAATTTTCTTTTCGCTAGCTTCTATCACGGCGTGCCGGCGGTGCAAATGGGTTTTATCACCAGAGGGGTGTTTTGAGCCAGCAGGTCGTCAACCTGTACTCCCAAGAACATCAACAGGTGTTTAGCCTTAATGGCACTAGTACAACTCTATCTATGCACGGCGTGTCTCATCGGGACCCGAACACGGCCAGGCTGTCGGCCTCTCAAACTGCTCTGATAGACAACACTGTAAGCCTCATGCCTCCAGTGTGTGATGTCATCCAGTGACGTCACTCGTGGTGTGTGCCTCTATTCGGCAATCGGCAAGAGAACGGGTACGTTGACGTGCCGCGGGGGCGTGCCCAGCAGAGTAATTTGTCGTCCTTGCATGGCATGATGCGCATTTTTCCTATGTCGCACCTCATCTGATCATTTTTAGTGGAGCCATTCTGCGAATGTAGGCACGACCACTGCGTCATTCGCGTGCAGTGTTTCAGCATCACCTAGGAAGTGTCGTTTTAACGCAGCTCTTCAGGGCCGTTTGTATTCAAGAGGTTATCTGATGCATGACCATGTTCACTCACCACTTCGTACTTGTATCATCCTTCCTTCATCACTGGTTCGCATTATTCGACAATGCCCAAAATCGTCTTTTTACAAATTGCACAGTAAAGTTTTCAACGTTCCTCACCTTTTGCATCCGAAAATTTCACAACATGCGCCATTTTGGTTTGACACAAGCTCGAACCATTCTGAAGGTAGCTGTGTAAAAATACATGTGAACGCGCCCCCCACTTCCAAAGCGGTGCACAACACCGCAAGTCCTCCGACGGGATACCACTCCAGCTGGTCTCGCCAATCCTATTCTTAGGGATTATTCCTTGGCGCATTTCTAGTTCGCAACCCCTATTTGACATACTGACTAACTTCTGGCTAGCAATGACATCATTTCATGCTTTTGCCAATATCACACCACGCTAATGACGATACAACTAGAGAAGAAAGGTGACGTATACTCACTGGCGAGTTGTCTCAATGTCAGGCCTCGTTTCGTGGAGACAAGACAGGACCTGAGGAGCTTCTTCGTGTCCTCGCTCGCCATCAGCCTGTCCTCTCAGCCAGCCCGCGGCTTCTCTTCACGGCCTGCCGATGCCACGGCGGCTTCACCTGGTAACAGGAGCCAAGTTTTGACAACTGCCGCTGTCGGTGACTGTTCTACTGTTGCGCTGTGAAACACGCGTATCAGCAAAGCACGTGAAAGCTGCGGGTTTGACCAGGGGGAAGCGCCACAAGTTTAACTGACCGGTAGTCAAAAACTTTGAATATCCATCACACACCATCTAATTTCTGAAACATCTCATGTAATTCATTTGGAAATATTTTGATTTATTATTTTCTATCCTGGGGTTAATAAATAGCGATGATCTACACCTCGTATTCCTTTTTTACAGAAACCACGGTTTTGGAGAAGCTGGTGGTTGCAATTTATTTGCATATAATTCTACGGCGCCAACCCAACGAAAGACTTAAAAGGCAAAGATATATAAATGTTGAGGAAAATCAGAACTGGTCCAAGGGTGCCCAATGCTGACTTTTTGAGATATATTACATATCTTTGCATGAAACGTATACACTCTGAACTTTTTGCCAGTTCTACAGTATGCACATTTCACAAAAACATCGGCCTTTCCTGTGTTTTGCCTGCACCGAACCTGCGCAGATGCGACAAACAGAATAAAATACAATACTTGTGTTTTCCTACTTCAGTGTGCTCGTGTAAATCGTTAATGATCAGTGGGGGTCATTATGACGGCGTTACTTGAATTACCTCGTAAGATAAGGGTCACCTTCGACATTGTTTTACTGCCCTGTGCTGGGCTACAACCGATGACGTCAGTCGAGTGGGATGGTCTTTCATGGACTCACTGCAAGATCAGCTGGGAAGGACTCCTTGAAGCCAGCGACAGTCGGCAAACCATGCAAGCATGGCAAAAAGATGTTTGAGGCGGACAGCGTCCTGCCTGAAATAGAATAGTTAGCTACGTAACTTGGGTAGATTCTGGTAACCCTCCTCAGTGCAGGAAGTATGATTTACCGTCAGATTTGGTCATTTTCTGTGATCTCAGCCATTTTTCTTTTTATCTCAGAACATGCTATGACGTCCTCATCAGTCCAACTCCACCATCGCTGCCCAAAAATGTTGACAGCCTTTGCCAAAGTAGGAGTTGTGTCCTGCCTCTGCCCCCCAACGAGGTCATGTCAATGGCAATGTCTATCGTGGTTTGCAGACAAGGCCAGAGGCAGTGCGTAACGGCGAGGAGGCCTTGAGGTCAGGGGGTGTAGTTGGCATATTCAGTTGGGTGGGGACTCGGCCCCCCACCCCCACCCACCCGTCAATTCGAACTCTAGCCCCGCCCCCCCCCCCCCCGCCCCACTTCAGCTTCAGCACCTCCCCCTCCCCCCGCCAAGCTTTGGAAAAAGTTGACCAAAGTCAGAGAAAACTTGTACATTGATATAGCTTCGAGGGTACGCTTGGTCGTTTGTCATTGCTTAACCCGCACCCCAGCCTCTAACTCATTTTGTAAATTTACACCTTCCTTCCTTCCTTTTCCTGTCCTATTCCGTCCATGACGTGCTGCTTTCACTGTAGGTTCGAGGCCTTGTGCGGTGTTATAGAAGCTAAAATTTCTTAGGGTTTTTGTACTCCAGTGAATTTTGTTTGTGGAGCTATGAATGGCCTGAATGCAAAATATGACGATCGAGCACGAAGCTGGTTGACGGGGATAGATGTTTATATCATAAGATATCTATACCGTTTTATCTATAAGCTTCAGATATCACGAAACAAGCTCACTTATAACTATGGGTGTACTTTTTAATGGGAAAGACCATTGTAGACAACACGAGGTCCCTGTTAAGTCATATGTTCTTGGATGCGTCATTCTTTGATCACGCCATGGTAAACTGCACAACATCGACTGAGAGCCAATTGACGGCCGTTTTATCTGGGAATCGTGCTCACAAACGCCAGGTATGAGCGACTCGACCATTTACTTCTACTGACCCTGGTCGCCGCATGGCTTCTGGAATGTCAGGATTTGAAAGACGCTATGACGTTATGAATGCCGAGTTGACCTCAAAATATTCCCCGAAAGAGTCTCCCTATCTTCGCGGGCGTGTAGATCAGAAACTAGAGAGAATTAGGTCCTAAGAGAGGCAGGGCTGTGAAATGCATTGAATGGTCTTTAAGGTGACTAATTAAGTTCGAAGCTACATAGCAATGTGGAACACTACTTTTAATGGAAATGTTCCACATTTTTGTGGTGGTCTGAACTGAAATAGCGCTCTTGAAGATCATTCGGTGTAAATTCACCGCCCTGCTCTTCTTAAGATAAAACCAGCCCTCTAGTCTTTGAGCTATACGCGCCGGAACTGTTCTGCTTGGGAACATCACGGCTTGGGCTGAGTATAGAAATCGTCGCAAAAAACCTTGCTTTGCACGTTGGTAATGATCAGATTGGAAAAATTTTAATTCCAACTTCAAAATTTCCCACAAATATAACTAAGTCGAACGCATGTAACACATGCACGCAAATAAGACACGTACATGTGTCATCAAAATCTGCCCATATCTAGACAAGTTATGAGGTTTGCAATATGTTTGGAGTCTAACGTTAGACGTGACCTCAGCCAGTGGCCTAACCCGCTTGCAACTCATATTATTTTCATCAAATAAATCCAATGCATGTACCCAAAATTCCACGCCCCGCGCTGCACCACCTTTTCTGCTAACCTCCGAAAACCTCGAAAGTACGGGCGTCCGGGTGACCCTACCCCCCCCCCCCCCCCCCGCTGCCATCACCCCCCCCCCCCCCCCCTCTGACGGGCACAGACTTCATCTTTATTTTAAAAAGAAGTCTCATCACCCGAAGCATCAAACTGTTTACATGACGAATTACTCATACCGATTATGACAAAATGACGACATATCTTTTCAGATTGGGCATTACGCCATCTCACAGACACTGTAAACTTTGTGAAAACTTGTCGCCTTAAACATGTCCCCAATGGGCCACAAAATATATTTTACAATGACGCATCATGCAAGGGACCTATGCCAAACGTTCTCGGCTGTGCAATGGACGGCAGACAAGAAGCACACAATTGCGGGTCATATTAGCCGCGTTCCAAACCTATCATGCACGGCCAATCATGAATTTGGAAGGGACGTAAACACATTCATTATTCAGAGCGCACAAAGACAACTTCCGCACCCGGCGGCACAATAAATGGGTTGTGAAATAGCTGCGTTCATGTAACTGCACATTATACATTTTCACCTCTTTGAAGGAACATCTACCAGATATGGTCTTCAAGCACGTGGTGATCCAGCCACCTCCTCTTCAACTTTAACCCCACGCCCTGAACTGACGTCACTGAACACACTCGGACCATCCTGGGAATTCTGTCCAGTGATCATTTGGATAGGTCTCAGTAACGACTTCGACGCTGGCAAATGTGATGGAGCTTCATGTTCATCCTGGTGAAAAAATTGGCTCCCATGACAGAAAATACTTGGAAAGAATACATTTTCCCCTGCAAAGTTGTTGGAACACGGGGGATCTCCCCTCCCATCCGGGGATAGACAGGGGCGTGTCCCCTCCGCTGTCCTCTCCCCCAGTCGCGCTGCACCTGAGGACGGGGCTTTCCGACACAAAAAGGGCATATTCTGGATTCTAGCCTGGTTAAAGGGGTCTCCCAAAACTTCAGGGAAGGAAAAACACGCCCTTGCCTCTCAACCTGCCGGCAGGAGTACCTTTGCCCCATCCGCTGCTGCGCCGAACCTGCTCAAGACCAACAATGGCATGTGCCACTTTGTGCAACGATACAAAGTTGGTGGTTAATGCACACGCCCTGCGCTTTTTATGGCGTCACCGGGAAAATCCAGCTGATAATAGTGGAAATTCAGTTCTCTAGGTATCCCACATTTTGACCGCTGATCTTGTTTTCGGGCTCCAGCCGCTTCACGTCACCGGGCCACGACGCCTTTGTGAGTACATTTCGGGATGCGGAAAATCGGCGTTGCGACTCAATGCCGGCAATCAATGCACGCGCTGAGCCTTTTCCCGTGATTCCGCAGTTGGGAAACATGGCATGGCAACGGCTGCCGCTCTGAACCAATGCAAAAGTCAGTTGAAGTCATGGCCAGATGGAAAAGTCCGGCTTTCGTGGGCGTCTTAAGATGAATGATTTAATCTAATCTAACATACAGACATCATCACCGCTGTTGTCAATGAAGCTTTAATGCGCACTCAGCTTATGAGGCTATATGGCGTCGCCCGCCCCTACCTCCTCACCACCTGGCAGTAAGGCGGACAGCGTGGGGAATCAAATCCCATACTTACGGTTTCCCAGGGGCACAGCTTAACCACCGCACTACACGACCGGTACCCTCCCTATTATCAATACCATCGTCATCATCATGCTCAACCGCTACTGTTACTACGAATACTACTACAACTACTTTTACCATTACCGTTTCTATTACCGTTACTAAAAATTATACTAATACTACTACCATGCTTTACTACTATTACTACTACTACTTCCACCACCACTACTTCTTCTGTCACAACTACCATTACCTCTACTTCTACTTTTTCATGAAAACAACTGCAGCTACAAGATCATCTATCCTCAACTATGCACGTAAGCAACCATGGACATCAACCATGCAGCGTCGGTTAAAGGGAATGTTCCACATTTGGAGATATTGAAGCAAGCATTAAATGTGGTGAAATGAGCTGACTTGTAACCACTGGTATGCTTTGAAAGGGAGTGTTTGATATTTATGTCGGGTTTTGAACTGAAATAGCCATCTTAAAAGTTGTTAGGCGCAGATCGAACCCCTGCCAGAACCATGCCAAATCCCTTAGTTTCTGAGCAACACGTCCACAAAGATGGGGAGACTATTTTGGGGGAGCATTTCAAGATCACATTGGCATTCATGATATCATGCCATTTAAATCCCACCAGTCTCAAGTCATGCGACGATCAAGACAAAGAAAAATATGATGGCCGAGCCATTTATATCTGGCGTTCGTGAACACGATTTCGAGAGATAACGGCTGTCAACTGACTCTCAATGAATTATATGCACGGTACGATGACGTAATCAAACAATGACGTATCAAGGAGCATATTGACTAGCTCGAGAAGCTGTGTTGTCTAGAGCAGACTTTTCTCTGAAAAGTTTACCAGAAGTTATGTGAGCTTGTTTCATCATACCTCATGCTTGCTTCGATATCTTCATATGTGAAGCATTCTCGTTCAGTGGAAACGGCTGCTCTGGACAACACAATTTCTGTTTAATGAAAATGCTCTTCGATGCGTCATTTTTTATTATATCATCGTACTTACCGTAACAATGATTCAGAGCCAATTGACGGCCGTTATATCTGGAAATCGTTCTCACAAACGCTACATATCAGCGACTCAACAAGCATATTCTTGGCCATGACGCCGCATGGCTGTTAGGATGGCAGGATTTGAATGACGCTATTTTGGTGTCATTGATGCCTGAGTGACCTTGAAACAGTCTTCCCAAAAAGGTTCTCACACTTTTTGCGGGCATGTACCTCAGAAACTAGAGGGTTTTAGGTCTTAAGGACAGTTAAGTGAACTGCACCGAATGATCTTCGAGCTGGCTATTCCAGTTCAAAAGCCCATACCAATGGGGAACACTCTCAAAGGTTTCGTGGAGTTTGCCTCAACAGGCTGGGAGTGTGCAGTGGTGGGGCAACTCTTGTATTGTTTCCAACATTTCATGACCTTTGACCAAATTCGCAGTCATTAAAGGAAGTGCTCTACATATCATGGGTTTTGAACAGATATAATCATTTCGAACATCATTCAGTGCGGCTCACGGCCCTGCTCTTGTGCAGACTATTTCGTGCGCCTATTCCAAGGTCATCCAGGCATCATGACACTGTAGAAACGTCACACTCCTCCCATCTCATTGGCCATATAGCGCTCAAGGTCACACAGCATATTTTCATCAAGCTATTCGTTTCCGGCGTGCGTCATCACGCGTTCTGATATCCACGGACTTCAGTTGACCCTCAACCAAGGTTAAGCGTCTCATGCAAGTTTAGAACACAAATCACGTGGCTACGAGTTATTACAGAAATAAGAATGGGTAATGAACAACTAAACCAAAGCACCATAACCTGTAAATGTGAAGTACATGTAAATGTAATTGCAAAAAATGTAAAGGCAAATAAACGACGTAAAATCAAGAACGTGTACGAACAAGAACATGTATGCAAGAACACCACAAGAGAGGGTCAAAACATGCGCACATCACCATATTTGGGTTTTGGAAACACCACATCGATTACCACGACACCTCTTGAGAAGTTAAAGTACTACAAGTGAGTTAGCCCGTCCGCTACGATAGCAATCTCGCACGGCCAGTTTGGGAGCCCCTCAAATGTCATACAAAGGTTAAATAATGCTATCAAACGATGACGCCTCGAGAATATTTAAGAAACAGTGATGTTCCGTTTAGAACATTCTTCGAAATTAAAAGCGCACCAAAAGTGAACCTAAAAGCATATCAAAAGGTGACGTCAGTGGGCGGGATGGACGGCACCGAGCATTGCGGCACGTTTTTCACCGCCGATTATGCCGTCGACCTGGAATTTCACGACCGGACGGTGCGCGTAATGGTTAGCGCAACAAGCACCTTTTAGCGTGAGCTTCTGATCCACGACTGAAGATGGCGCACCCCACCGGGTAGAGTGCAGTGTTCAGAGATCAGTCTGTGCACTTCACGTGGTACACATATAACAAACAAGCTAGATTTCCCCGCGGTATTTCAATTCACACGCCGATGGTGGAGATCATAGCACAATCGTCACCTACCTTCTGCTGCTCCACCCCGCCAATGCCTATGAGCGCCGTGTGTGCTCCTGCATGCATCCAAGGTCGTGTGTGGGAGGCAAAACCGTCCGATGATTCTTGCTTCATCTTTGCAAAGCCTTAGCCTGACGTCATTGGTAATGAGACTACAACGCGCGGCTGGTCGCTAGATGTCGGGCGGAATGCTGAGGGGAAAACGGAACGTCGAAGTCTTAGAACAAAGAGTGAAAAAGCCGCCCGTGAAAGTTGCATATGACCAGCCAGCCAATTGTTTACAGTTTTATGGCTAATAAGATGACTTGTTTTGTGCAGCCCGTGCCGCAAACTATTAAGCTGCAGTGGTATGAGAAGTGAAGACGTACACAAGGGACTTACTCGCGAAAAGGCGGCAGGAATATCGAACTGTCGCCGCACCCACACCAAACAAACTGTTAGTGGCAGACGTATGTGACTGGTGAGTCGAACACGCAAGATTTAATGAGCGTGATAATGTGCGTCGCAACCTTAAGCGACGTGTCATTACAATGCACTCCGATCTTTTACGGCCTCGCACCCCGTGGTCGTGCCGCTGCCGGCCGTGTCATTGCATGGTGAGCGTGGTGGGTCTGTTGCGTGCTACACTTGATTTAGTCGCGCTTGATGCGCCAGGTGCGCGCTAGATACGCTGTGCTCGCTGCGTGCCCATCTACATTCCGCCGTTTTCAGTCTGTGCCTGTCAGCGGTTCCAGCCGCGTTCGGTCCGTCCCTGCCTTGATTCAGGTATGCTCGCTCTGTACCTGTCTGCGAGGCCGACAGTGATCCATCCCTAACTATCCGCATAGTCACGGTGAATGGCGGGCCACGTATGCTGCGTTCTTGAGACGTTCATGTGCCTTGCTACGTTTAACGTCAAAGTGGCATGTGGGCAAAATGATGAATAGCTAAGCCGTGGTGCAGAGGATATATTTCTGTAACACCGTTTGTTGTAGCGGGAATAACGTTAGCACACACTCGGGTAGGGGCCAATTCGACCACCCCTAATTTTTTTTCCAAAATGATTCCGAACGGTACTGCGTAGCCGCGCCAAACTTCTTAAAGCTATAGAAAATTGAACGGCGGATATTTTGGTATAAAACATTAAATGCGCCTTGGAAAATCGCTGCCCTATGGCAGGCCAAAGCCACGCCAAGGCTGCCAGCGAGGCCCATCTCTAGCAAATCTCTCAATCTGATGCGACAGCGGAGTGCTGGACGAAGTCATACATCACTGAAATAGTTTCTTAGGTAATGGAACAATTTAAGCGAGAATCGCAACCAGTTTCATAGACTTAGGGGCATAGTACCAAAGTCAGAACGAGGTCAAAACTAATCTTTTTTTTACCTCGGAGCGCTGTACGAAGTAGTTCCTGATGCTCATTTCAAATATGTTATTAATAGGGACCGCACCAGGCATGTTCCATGAAATTCTTACAGGCAAGAGTAAGTCACTGAGCCTAAATGATTCAGGTTAACATTTTGTTCTAGGAACGCGCCGCCTAGCGTAATATATGACGCTCATTCAAATGCAAAAATAGAGGAAGCCTCGTAGGTCTTTGGCCATCTGGACCACATAGAAGCAAAAAGGTCATTGATCTTAAATCAAAACCAGTGGCCTTTGACTTAGAAGAGGAATCTAGGATCAAGGTGAAGGCATGAGGAGATCCGTGAGCACTTTGGACACCAATCTGGAGTTTGACCTTGTTTTACCTTCTTTGACCCGAAGTTCATGACCTAGGAATCACAAATTTTGACTCGACTGATTTCGCATACAGACCAACCCACGCTGTGGACCAAGTACTCCTAGCTTGTTTAGTTGTTGCGATCTCAAGTGGCCAAGTTGACCCCACTCGAGCGAGGGGCATTCGACCGGCCAGTTGGGGGCGTGTTAAGACAGCTATCCGTAACAATGTGCTATTTTGACTCCCAAATGTACGATCATCTCTCAGTGCAGTATGCTAAACGGCTCCCGTATAATTTCATTTCATTTCATATTTAATTGCCCCCATACGCAGGGGCAATGAAAGCTCTGCTAAGCTGGGGGAGGGGGGCGATGGTCATTTTGGTTACTTCTTTCAGTTAACGCCCATGTGGAATACTGAATATTAAGGAAGTTGGGACACATCCCATTTCCCTAGCAGCCATAGGTTATTAGGCACTTTTGCATAGGCACGTTTATTTTTGCACACCGACTGATTTTTAAAGCTTTTGCGAACTGCAAGATCACAAAGCACAGCACCATGCCTGTAACTGATCGGTTTGCGGATAAATGAGCCTACTAGCAATAATCGACTTGTTGCTGGTAAGAAGGTAGCCCAATGTTCTGGCTGTCTATCTCCAACATTCCGTGCGTGCACGTTTTCGCTTTTTACGCTGGTTGCATTTTAACTACTGAGCATATAAACTTGCACCTAGCACATCGCCATACATCCATTAGATTACATGCCTTCGATTCCCCGGTCATATGCACCTACCCCCCGAAAGTTTGGTTATTATCGGGAACAAAGACAATCAGATGTCATGGCCGCCCATCTCTGCAGCAGTTCTGGTGTGTTTTAAATTTTCACGCCGATTTCATTCTAACGGTTGGCCCCATAACCATGCAAAGCACATAATCTTATCTAACGTTAAATTCTTCGCGATCAGCTGACCGGTCACACGCATCTACCACTATGGCTTGCTTAATATCGATGCGGAACCCAGTGTTTCAGCATCCCTGTCTGTTATACTTCTAGTGTAAACGTTTTCACTTCCCATATCATGTGAGTGGCATAGGCTTGCAAAGCACACTATCATGCTCACCATTAAATTCTAGTCGGTGAGATCCATCTCCCGCTAACACTGTTTTCGTTATCCGTGCGAAGATTTCCGATGTTCCGGCTGCCCCGTAGCGTTGCGCGTCACGACGGCGGCGATATCAGCGGTGAGGTATCCGCGAGAAATACGCCTGAAGCCCTAAAAAGATCCCAGGATCCCATTAACATGGAACGCTGTGGGATGCTGCATTCACCATTGGCAACCAAGGACATGTCCGGCTAAACGTACATATATATGCATATGCATATGCGGTATGTGGCATGATCTTCCGTCCGTTAAAACCAGGGCATAGCGAGGCGTCCGGCAGTCGTGGTCTCGGCCACCAAATTCGGTGTCCGTTGCGGACCGAAGGGACTCCCAGTGACGTCAAGCAGTGGCTCGCGAGGAGCTAGACAGCTCTCTTGGTAGCTGCCCCGCAAAAACACCCCAGTTTGGGGATTCCCCGGGCCGTGATGCAAACCATTTTGCCATGTCGCCGCTGATTCACTCACCCCTGGCGCAACACGTAACATTTTGTCTGCAAAGTAAGCATATTTTGCTCACAAAAATCACGATCTGCACTCTGTTATCTAAAGTGATATCACTTCAATCATCCAATGCGTGGATCATAAGTCCGAAGCAATTTTGTTTACAAACGTCTGTGTGACGTAATATTAAGCAATCAGCTGATAACCGTATCCCCATCGTGGCGCGACCATGCGCTGCATACGCCGATCACGCTCAAGTCCTGCAAGGCACTGGAACGCTGTGGGCGGTCGTGGGTACGTCGCTTGTTTTGTACTAATGAAAACGTGCCATGGTTCGCATTTATATTTTTATGTACATTTGGCACAAAACTGGCCAATTTGGAAAGATCAAAGTTTCCCACATCGGATATAGGATAAGCATACTTTAAAAATGTAAATAGACGCGCCGCCTCCTGTCCACTCGTGTTTTTCTGCGCTATTGTGTCAGTTCCGACCATAGATGCTTTGTGTAAAAACTCGTTGAATCTGAATATCACAGTAGTTGTGTCTGTAAATTGTTCGGAATTATGCAGCGTTATTTGTGTGCAACATAACTTCAATTCCAAGAGGAAGTGAGCTTAGAGAGCAAACACATCAGCACTTCCTTCTTAAGTCTCATGATCGACCAAACACAGCAGCTGGTGTTAGTGATATTCTGAACCATCAGCACCATGCAATTGATATTTCTACCATTGCCAATATTGCACAACATTTTCACAGCACAGCTTAGTGCATGGTGCATTGCCATTGCCAATTTCAGCTCATGTAGTTATTGTGCAAGGGAACTGTGATGATGCGAAGGTAGTGCATGCCAAAGCACCCCAGAATGCTGTTATACCAAAATTATTTGAAAATGAGCTCAATTCAGCATAGCCTCAGTTGGGACATAGATAAGGGTACAGGTCAGGGATAGTGCACATTATATGATATACATTGTTTTAGGTTGACAGCCCCAGATAATGATACTGCAGTAGATTTCTTGGAGATTCTGGATGATAATGATTCTGGACTGTTGCCATCTAAAATTACCTTTGTGACATCATAGTTTCCCAAAATATTGACTGGTTCAATTGGTAATGGCAATATGGCAAACTCTGGGTGCTTGGTCTTGTGATGTACATGCCCTGAAGTTTTGTTCTGATTTGCTACTATGCCAGACATGTGTGGCACAGCAGGTATTTTGTGCAGCCCAGTAACAAGAGCAATTGTGAGGCAGCTCCAGCTTTGGTATATATTTATAATTCCCTTCTCACAACTGTAGCACAGCCTTGTCCCTAACTAGTATGTGCAATCCATGCACCCCACCCAACCCCCTGTAGCTGATGGTTATTCCATTATCATGTATGTTTTCTGTCCTAGGCTTCTTCCCCATAATGCCCAAGACCCACACCCTGTCATTCCCATCACCCATGTTTGGTCTCATATCATGCAAAAGATCCCATAACTGCACAATATTATTCATCCTCAATTGATCAGTGCTATCAGTGCTTTGATCAGCCAATAGACACAGTGATTGCATGTCTCACAACACTTAGCAGCAGGGTGTCAGCTGCTGCTTTATTGGCAACCAGCAGGGTTGGATCATGATTTTATGTTAACAGAAAAGAACAGACAAGCTTTGTGTGTATTATTGATGTTATATACTCATAAGTAGTTAGCTTACATAGACAGTTTGTCAAGTTCTGGCAGGAATCTTAATATGTGCTTAGTAAATTGTCTGTGTGCACAGAGAAGGCCAGATGGTATGTGGGCTTACAAAACATTCTGAACAGTTTTGCAGGATATCAAGGTTGCCTTGAGTGCTCAATTTCATGTGTCAGGTTGAATAGCATCATTGATTAGTTGTGAGATGTTCATTTTATTGACCAGGAAATTGATCAAACATGGTCTTCATTTTACATAGCTGCAAGCTTAGAGTGTTCTGCATTGTCATTTCTTCTAGCAGTTGTTTGGATGCTGATGTGATGTGCTTTATTGAAGATGACAATTGATTTGGAACTTTTGGTTCATGCATTGGTTAACTATTCCATTAATACTTGGTGAAGTCAGAAGAAGAAAAACTTCAAACTGATTGCCAAGGTGAAATCAGTTGTACCATGAACTGTTGTACTATGTGATTTGATGTTAATCATTATACCTGTTTTTTATACCTGCTTGGATTTTGACATTATAATTAATTGTACCCAAGGATGGCAGGGTATTTTTACACTAATCTATTCATTTTGTCATCCTCCTTCCATTGTTTGTGTGCATGAGACACTGTGTGGTGCTGCAGCAGTGACGATGGCGCGGCGTGGGCTGTGGCTGCTGCTGCTGCTCAGCAGCCTGGCCGCGACCGCGACCGGCGTCAGCGGCCAGGCGGACCAGCTGACGCCGACCGTGGCAGCCCGAGCCGAGGGGAGCGGCGACGCCCCGGCCGACGAGCGGCCGCCCGTGCCGCTGCCGGACGCCCGGCCGCCGCCGCCGTTCATCGAGCGGCTGCCGGCGGAGGGCGCCCAGTTCGGCGCGCTCGACGACTTCTCGTCGCGCCAGGGCCGGCCGCTGCGCACGTGTCACCGGCCGGCTGTGTGTCAGCCGCTGCGGCGCGGCGCGTGCTTCGGCACGGCGCTGCGCCACACAGCCACCTCGCTCAACCTCACTGTCGGTATCCGCTCGCAGGAGAGCGTCAAGGTGGGTGGGCCGCGACCCCGGCCGCCACTGCTCGCAGCGGCGTCCTCTCATGGCACCGGTGGCGTCCTTGAAAGCTCCATGGATAAACATTGTGGTGTATTGATTGATGATGTTCAGTTTTCTCGCGAACACGTGCGCTCTTAGCTAACATGCTGGTACTTTGCTTCGGGATTGTTTGTCGGACGCCATTGCCAGAAATTGCACCAGCGTATCAGAAATTCTGTTTTTCAGGAGGAGTTGAATCGGTGGGAGGCACTACAGAACATTCCGAAATGCTGGAGTGTAATCCAGCCATTCTTATGTGCTGTTTTTATGCCCAAGTGTGAAAATGGATCCGTGGAACTGCCATCACTGGTAAGAAATCTGTAACCACGCGATTTGAATTCGGTTCATATGCTTAATGTGCAAAAAGTATTGGTCATGTTTCGTTTTTATTGTTATTTAATTCTAAGGGCACATCAGCTGCCTTGGTTATTTGCGCCCTCAGCCATATTTCTGCATGCCGACGTGGTGCATGACGATATTGCTATAAACAGTGAATGGGTGCTTGAAGCACTTGTATTTCATATGCAATATCACGTATGTACGACATTGCAAGCTCGTGGGGGGGGGGGGGGGGGGCAGAGACAGGTGTGATGGCTTACGAACGTGTCTAAATGTTCGGTGACCGCGGACCAGCGACGGCTATCCAGCCGCCGCTCGCACGCCTTTCCCGTCGTGTATCGGTCGCCTCTCGGCACGAGTGGCCCTGTCGGTGGGGGGAGTCCCCTGGCCTGCGCGCCGTCAGTGTCGGCCGTGCTGGTCACCTGCGCCGGCGGGGCGTGCCGTGCCGCAGGAGATGTGTCAGAAGGTGCGCGGCCAGTGCCAGTTCGCCGACGCGCTGTTCGGCTGGCCGCCGTTCCTCGAGTGCCACGAGTCGCGCTTCCCCTCCAACTGCCGGGTGAGTGTGAGCCGGCGCCGCCGCCAGCCGCAGGTGGCGGCGGCCCGCACATCAGCTCAAGCGGCGCCGCCAGCCGCAGGTGGCGGCGGCCCGGCCATCAGCTCAAGCGGCGCCGCCAGCCATAGGTCGCGGCGACCCGCGCATCAGCTTAAGCGCCGCCGCCAGCCACGCGTCGCGGCGACCCGCGCATCAGCTCAATAGGCGCCGCTAGCTGGCTGTGTATTGGGACCGGCTAAGCTAGAGATCATTTGATATGGAGCACATATGTATGCAATTTTCAAGTTCGCGGGATATGTTTTTGTGTCGTTTGTGCCGTGTTGGTCTCCATACGAGCTTTGTACATGTTTCCTATGCTACAAACGTGCAGTGCAGTCTTGTATACTTCCTACGTTAAGACGCTGTATTCGCGTGCCGAGCTGTCGCGAGAGCTCGGCAGCGCCGGCCGGGGCCAGTGCGGCCGCCGTGTGACTGGCTGCAGCGCGCCGCGCAGAACTCCCTCCTGGACCTCAAGTACAACACGAGCACCTCCTGCCTGCCGCCGCTGGTGCCGACCAAGAACAAGCTGGCCTTCTACCCAACGGTGGAGGGGTGTGCCGAGCCCTGCCGCGGCCTGCTCTACACAGACCAGCAGCGCCAGGACGTGCACCGCTTCGTGCACGTGTTCGGTGGCCTCAGCTTCGCGCTTACCTTCCTCACCGTGGTACGGAGCGGGCGGCGCGACAGCGTCGTCGCCCGGGGATGACCGGGAGGGGGACTGCGCAGTCCTTCCAGCACTCGGAGCCATAGTGCGCTCTGTGCTCTGTATGTACCTGATTCCGGGGGCAACTTCGCATGCCATTTGGAATTGAAGTCTGAGGAAACTGAGTTACAATATGCACTCGATGAATCTGTTCAGGCTGTCGTGTGGCGCGATTGCTTGTCATCTCAGAAAGCTCGCGTTTCTAGAGGCGTATGATTCCATGGTCGCCACATATTACCCTTATCACATATTACCCTTTATCACATATTACCGCCACATATTACCCTTGTCCCGCTGTCAAAGCGCACGGCCCCGCCTGACCGTGGCCACGGCCAGGCGGAGCTACGCACAGTGACACGGCGCCATGCCATGGCGGGCCAGCGCCGGCGCGGCCGCGTCTTCACCGTTGTCAGCGGCGGCGCTGTCTGTCGCCAGATGACGCATGTCATCGACTGGCGCTCCTTCTGCAAGTATGCTGCCAACCGGTGCATCTTCTACATCAACCTCTGCCTGTGCCTGGCCATCCTGGGCTTCCTGGTGCAGTTTGTGGACGAGTCGCGCGACACGGTCGTCTGCCACCGGGACGGCACCGCCCGGGGGCCGGGGTAAGTGGCCCCTTTCCCCCAGAGTCGTCTGCCACCGGGTCGGCACCGCCCGGGGGCCGGGGTAAGTGGCCCCTGTCCCCCAGAGTCGTCTGCCACCGGGACGGTACCGCCCGAGGGCCGGGGTAAGTGGTTTCCCTGTCCACCAGAGTCGTGCGCCGCCGGGCACCCCGTCCTGACTCTCCACGTCAACCCATGAGCCCGATCCGTCACCGGGTGGTGTAGACTTGGAGTTGTGGTAGTGCGTGCCTGTTCATAAGAGAGACGTCGGACAGAGGAAGGGTCTGGCAAAAAGGGGCACTGTTTCGGCTCAAAAGAGAGACAAGCGCTGGTGTCCACCGCTGGGTGACGGACCTGCAAGGGGATAGGGCACCTATCTGCTTTGATGATCAATTTGTGTGTAATGGAATCTACTTATTGCTGGTCTGCTGGCAGGGCTCCTGCCATGTTCTGTGCTCCAAGTCTCCACAGTCCGCGCATCAGCTGTGGTCTGTTTCAGATCGGAGGAGTCGGCCACTCCTTGCACGGCCGTGTTCGTGCTCATCTACTACCCGGTGATCGCCGCGCTCTGCTGGTTCGTCATGCTCGCCTTCTCTTGGAACATCACCTTCAAAACATTTGGTACGCGCCGTGCGGGCGGGCCGACTGTGGAGTTGCTCCGATGCCGCCGCCGTCTCTGGTGCTCGGTCGGCGTCGCCGGGTCATTGCTGCTGTCTGTGGTTCCTGACTCATACTGCTAGGTTACCGATGCCGAGTCAGGCCGATTTGGCGGTTTCATGGTGGTTCCATTCTTGGGGAGATGCGTGTCATGTCGCAGTTTTCGCCAGTGTTAGCAACGGTGAAGTTTGCTGGGTTCAAAATGACCGCAGCACTTGGCGAGCCCTGAAACACCAATAAGCAACCACACCAGTCATTGCCATGTGTGGCTGTGGTCGTCAGCGGCACGGGTCGTGTGGGCACGCAGCGGCGGGGTGCCGCTCGTGTCCGGGTGCTGGGTGCCGTTGCCGGTGCTGACGGGTGCCGCTCGTGTTCGGGTGTCGGGTGCCTGGTGCCGTGCTGACGGGGTGCGCCGACCGCCACCAGGTCAGTCGCGGGAGATCCAGGAGCGGCTTAACGGGCTGACCTCATACTTCCACCTGATCTCTTGGTCGGTGCCGTTGATCCTGACGACGGCGGCGCTCGCCACCTCCGACGGTAGGGGGCGCGGCCGCGCGCCGAGCTGGGCCGAGCTGGCTGGACTGCCGGCTGGCTGACCCTGCCAGCTGGACTTGGGCAGCGAGGAGCCACAGTTGCCGATGAGCTGTTCACCCCGCCTGTCGGGAGTGGTGTTGTGCGGCGATGCTCCGCTTTGTTGGTAGTTCAGTGCGGGTGGGAGCGATTGAGTGATGTCCCCTCGGCTTGTGTGAGAAACAAGAAGCATGGTATTAGCGGGCAGTTTCTTAACCCCATCTGCGGGGCCCGGTCTCGGTTTGATGCGTGTCCCTGGCGCGCACGCCGTGTGTTAGGCGCGTTGGGTGCCGGCGCCATGCGCGTCGATCGCGCATGGCTCCGTCTCACCACACCCCAGCTGTGTCCAGTGGCCTACCACCGGAGATGCTTTTCCCAAAGAGGACAGGCATCAGCTTCACCCCCGAGTACCAGTCTCAGGACAAGTGATGAAATTAGGGAGAGCAGCTGCACGGCCCCCTGCAGCCGCGTCCGCGCCGCTAACCGTTGTCACGCCGTCGTCGGGCAGTGGTGGACAGCGACTACCTGTACGGCGTGTGCTTCATCGGCTTTGGAAACTGGCACTACCGACTCGGCTTCGTGCTCGTGCCGTCCGTGGTGGCCACGCTCGTCGGCGGCTTCTTCCTGATCCGCAGTGAGTGCGTGAAGTCACACGTCTGACGTCACGGCGGGGTCTGGCCGCCGGCGGCTGGGACTGCTGGCGGGTGCTCGGCTAGGGAGGGGCCTCAGCCAGGGGTCGGCGGATCGGCCGCGCTTGTCGTCTTGAACAGGCCAACGCCTGCTGTGAAAAGCGCCAACCGTGTCGATATCTGGCCTGCCTCAGTGCTATCACTTCGTGCCTTCACGAATGAAGCGGGGGGGGGGGGGGGGGTGAGTTGGCGGGGGGTGTTTGTCATTTAACCCATCGAGCAGTAGCTACTAGTAAACACTAGTTAGTGCATGGCGTTCTGTTGCAACATGTCCTAAGGCTTATGGGGTCATGGTGCTGCTCTCTTTGGAAAGTGATGGCTCGACTCATCTGGTGCTTGGGCTGTGGTGTGTGCAATCCGTCAATGGCTGGCAGTAATAGTAACGCTGTTCGAATGCACACCCATTCTTTGGATCCTGCAGTGATCTTCTCAGTATGATGTGCCGGTAGAATTGTTATGATCCGAACAGCCTGGGATGGCCGTTTTTATAAGCAAGAGAAATTCAACTGCCATGGGTCACATACGGACATACAGTGTGCAGCGTGTGCAATGCTTCACCTAACTGGTGCATGTGCCCGATTAACGTCTGACGTTTAGCGTGGTTAGCAGGTGATGGAATCTTTTGCCCACGGAATGTTTGGTCGGCGGTACTAACAAAACCTCATCTATTGCATGCTCTCTTGGAAAGCAGCAAACGTGTGGGCAACAGGTATGTGTTCCAACCTTTCCAAGCCTCATACTGATCACGTCATAGCTGCCGTTTTTTCCGACGCGTCAAAATGCTGTCATTCTAACCTGTGATCGGCGTCGTTTGGCATCGCGCTGCGCTGGACACCGCGCTCGCCCGTCCGCCGCGTGTCACCGTTCTCACCGGCCTTGTCCAGCGGGCGCTCGGCCGTCGCTCCCGGCCGAAGGCTCGCCCGTCAGCCCCGTGTCGCTGTTTTCACCGGCCTTGTCCGGCGGGCGCTCGGCGGAGGGCCGGGCTGCCGCCACGCGGGTGGCGGGTGCGCCGGCCCCAGTCGCCCGGTGCGAGACCCCCCGCTGACCGCCGCCGCCGCCGCAGGTGTGCGCTTCCTGGTGCGCCAGAGGCCGGACAAGACCGAGAAGAAGCTGGTGGTGAACATCAGCATCGCGCGGCTGTGCGTGTGCGGCTCGCTGCTGGTGGCGGCGGTGGCCGTCAGCGTCGCCTGCCACGTGCTCGAGTACGGCGGCCGCGAGCAGCAGCGCCACGAGGTGCACCGCCATCTGCTGTGAGTGCTGCTGCCGTCTGGCGCTGACGGGCCCGCTGCCGCTGCGGTGGCAGCACTCCTGGTGTACAGCGACCCCTGGTGTACTGGTGCACGGCTGCCCCTGGTGTACAGCAGCACAGGTGACTGGCTTCCCCCTGGTGCACGGCGGCACAGGTGGCCGAGTACCCCGGGCGTACGGCGGCACAGGTGCTGAGTGACCTGCGTAGGGAATGATTGTGCTGTATGCTGTACGGACGCATGCTTTGTGGCATCGGACCCCAATGTGAGCTCGTGGAATGGCGTCTGGAGAGTGCTGCTCCCTCGAGCCGTCGCCCCGGCGCAGGAGCGCAGCCCCGGCCCTCTGCTGACGCCGACGCCGCCCTCTGGCGACCGCCAGGTGTCGGGCCAACGCTACGGCGCGCCGCCACCTGGACTACGGCTACGGCTCGCAGCCGGCGTGTCCGGTGTCGCCGCGGCCGGCGCCGCTGCTGCTCAAGGCGCATGTCTTCTGCCTGTTCGCCGTCGGCGTGCTCTTCTCCAGCTGGGTGTGGCGGCGCTCCACCCTGCGGTCGTGGAATCGCTTCTACCGGCGGTGAGTGGGCTGCGCTGTCGGCTCCTGCGACTGGCAGCAACGCCGGGTGACTGAGGACGTCGACATGTGGGGAGAAGCAGCCTGCAGTGCAATCGGACCAAGATCCTGATAACGTTTTTGCCGTCGGTGAACCGTCGTACTTGTGCCCTCGAAATGGTTCCGCGGGCAGCGAGTCGGCGCGGTGCTCATGGAGCCGTCCCTGCTGGCGACAGTACTCGACTAATGCTCATTTGCTGTTCTGGACAGCACGTGACTGTTGTGTGCCTCTCATTCTCTACCGATGGCACTGGCAGCATCCCTTTATCATCGCGAGCGCGGCAGCTGTGCCTCGTGCCTTGTTTCTGTGGGGGGGGGGGGGGGGGGGGGGGGGGAGGAGGAGGCGATGTGGCTCGGCTGCGGCCGGTGACGCCGGGCGCGGCGTCTCCCCGCAGTGTGGTGGGCAAGCCCGAGGAGCGGCCGGTGCGACGCATCCGCAAGCACCAGGTGATCGCGCAGGCCTGGTCCAAGCGCTATGACCTGGCGCAGCACGGCCGCATCTCGCTCAGCTTCCACAGCACCCACTCGGACCCCGTCGGTGAGAGTGCGCCGCGCGGTGCCGGTCTGCGTAGGTGGGCGACCGAGAGGCGTGCCTGTCTGTGCAGCGCAGGCCGCATGGTGGGTGTGGGTTTTCCACCAGGCTTGAGTCAACTCGCGTGGGAGGGTGACCAGTCATCGTCAGTAGTTCCGTTCGAGGTGGTGCTTTTCAAGAGTTTGAAACCCTTAAAACTTGTTCCGAAACTAGATTGGATGCCTTGTCGTATATGTGTTTCAAGGATCATATGGTTATAGGGAAGCTTACCGTAGGAGTGGCCGTATCTGCTTGGAATGCTGGTGTCTTAATTGGTGGCCATCCGGCGCTGTGCTGACGCGGTTCTCCTGATGACTCGATCCCTGGTAATCCTGACCTCGGTTCCGCTGATCACCCGGTCCTCGGTAATTATGACCGGTTCTGCTAATGACTTGGTCCTCGGTAATCCTGGCCTCGGTTCTCCTGATGACTCGATCCTCGGTAATCCTGACCTCGGTTCTGCTGATCGCCCGGTCCTCGGTAATGCTGGCCTCGGTTCTGCTGATCAACTGGTCCTCGGTACTCCTGACGCGGTTCTGCTGATCACCCGGTCCTCGGTAATCCTGGCTTCGGTTCTGCTGATCACCCGGTCCTCGGTAATGCTGGCCCCGGTTCTGCTGATCACCCGGTCATCGGTAATCCTGACGCGGTTCTGCTGATCACCCTGTCCTCGGTAATGCTGGCCTCGGTTCTGCTGATCACCTGGTCCTCGGTAATCCTGACCGCGGTTCTGCTGATCACGTGGTCCGCGGTAATCCTGGCCTCGGTTCCGCTGATCACCCGGTCCTCGGTAATCCTGGCCTCGATTCTGCTGATCGCCCGGTTCTCGGTAATCCTGACCGCGGTTCTGCTGATTACCCGGTCCTCGGTAATCCTGGCCTCGGCTCTGCTGATCATTCGGTCCCTAGTAATGCTGACCTCGGTTCTGCTGATCACTCGGTCCTCGGTAATCCTGGCCTCGGTCCTGCTGATCATTCGGTCCCTAGAAATGCCGATCTCGGTTCTGCTGATCACTCGGTCCTCGGTAATCCTGGCCTCGGTTCTGCTGATCACTCGGTCCTCGGTAATCCTGGCCTCGGTTCTGCTGATGACTCGGTCCTCGGTAACCCTGACCTCGGTGCTGGTGATGACTTGGTCCTCGATAATCCTGGCCTCGGTTCTGCTGATCATTCGGTCCCTAGTAATGCTGACCTCGGTTCTGCTGATCACCCGGTCCTCGGTGATCCCGACCTCGGTTCTGCTGATCACTCGGTCCCTAGTGTGTCATGTGTGTGTCATTGGGGCTTTACGACGCGCTCAGCTGCTGAGGCTATGTGGCGTCGCCTGCCCCTCACCCTGGCAGGAAGGGCGGGCACGGCGGGGAATCGAACCCCGTACCTCTGGTTTCCCAGACGCGCAATGGTTAACGCAGACACGTTAACCACTACACTACCGGCACCCTCGGTCCCTAGTAATGCTGACCTCGGTTCTGCTGATGACTCGATCCTCGGTAATCCTGACCTCGGTCCTGCTGATCACTCGGTCCTCGGTAATCCTGACCTCGGTTCTGCTGATGACCCGATCGTCGATAATCCTGACCTGGGTTCTTCTGATGACTCGGTCCTCGGTAACCCGGACCTCGGTTCTGGCGATCAACCGGTCCTCGGTAATCCTGGCCTCGGTTCTGCTGATCACCCGGTCCTCGGTAATCCTGGCCTCGGTTCTGCTGATCACCCGGTCCTCGGTAATCCTGGCCTCGCTTGTGCTGATGACTCGATCCTCGGTAATCCTGACCTCGGTTTTGTTGCTCGTCCGCGGGGACGGCCGAGCCAGCTCAAGTCGCCCCGACGCGTGTCACGCCATGTCCCGAGGTCCCTGCGAGTGTGGCGCGGTGGCGGGTCGGCCGTGCCGCCCTGAGCTCCGCCCTGCCCGGAACCCCGCCCTGCCTTGAGCGTCGTCCTGTCCTGAGCCCCGTCCTGTCCTGAGCCCCGCCCTGACCTGAGCCACGTCCGGTCTTGAGCCCCGCCCTGTCCTCAGTCCCGTCCTGGCCTGAACGCCGCCCTGTCCTCAGTCCCGACCTGTCCTCAGCCCTGCCCTGCCTGGAGCCCCGCCAACCGTGAACCCCGCCCGCCCGGCAGGCATGTACCTGGGCGGCCTCAACAGCGGCACGTCCGAGTCACCGTCGTCGTCGTTTTTCGCGGCGATCCCAAGCCTGATGGAGCGGCGCGGCGCGCTCATCGGCTCCACGTCGTCGGCGCTGGGCCTCAGCCGCAACTCGGACGGCTCGCTGTACAGCGTGTACAGCCGCGGCAGCCGGTACAGCCGCACCAGCCGACACAGCAGGTACAGCAGACGGTACGTGCACGGCATGGCGGTACGGCTGGCGCGTCAGCCTGGTGCGACGGTCGGTGGGTGAACATCGCACAGAACCTCCGCGGCCGTCAAGAGCAGCGTTATGCTGTGGAGACAGTGTTGCATGCGGCCTTGTTGGGGCAGTGTTGTGTTGTGTACTGTGCCGCAGTGTTTTGATGTGGAGACGGTGTTGCGTGCGGCCTTGTGGGGGCAGTGTTATGTTGTGTACTATGCCGCAGTGTTGTTATGTGGAACCAAAACAAGAAGCGAAGAACAGGGGATGCCGTTTAGGTTGAGTGTAACGTCCGCTGATTCCTAGTCATCGTTGTCGCGGGGTTTGGCGGGCTCTCGTGGTGGGTTTGCGCCCGGCCGATGGCGTCCCTGCCCCGTTGGCTGCCGTCCCTGCCCCCTTGGTTGCCGCCTCTGACCCGTCCGCTGCTGCCTCTGATCTGTCGGCCGCCGTCCCTAACCCGTCGGCTGCGTCCCTGACGCTTCAGCCGCCGTCAGTGACCCGTCGGCCTCGTTCGTGACCCGTTAGCTACCGTCCCTGCCCTGTCTGCTGCCGTCCCCGCTCCGTCCGCTGCCTTCTGTGACCCGTCTGGCACGTCCCTGACCCGTCGGCCGCGTCTCTAACCTGTCGGCCCGTCCTCCGAACGGCAGGCTCTCTCACGACTCTGAGGTATCACGCCGCCACTCTCTGGACTCGACGCGCTCGCTGTACCGCTCGGAGGCGGACCGGGTAGCAGCGCTGCTGGGCGGGCGGCGCCGCGGCCGGCGGCGCGCGCTGCCCGACGTCCGGCGCACCGGTCACTTGTCGGCGCGCCGCGCCGTCGGCCGCAGCGACTCCACACTCAGCCGGCGCAGCAGCAGCCTGTCGCAGGCCAGCAGCAGCATCAGCTCACAGGTGAGGAGGCCACAGGCCAGTAGCAGCATCAGCTCACAGGTGAGCAGGTCACAGGCCAGCAGCGGCTCACAGGTGAGCAAATCACAGGCCAGCATCAGCTGACAGGTGAGCAGGTCACAGGCCAGCATCAGCTGACAGGTGAGCAGGTCACAGGCCAGTAGCAGGATCAGCCCACAGGTGAGCAGATCACAGGCCAGCATCAGCTGACAGCTGAGCGGGTCACAGGCCAGCAGCAGTATCAGCTCACAGGTGAGCCGAGATCGCAGGCCAGCAGCAGCTCACAGGTGAGCAGGTCGGTGTCAGCTGACTGGTTCGGCGGCACCAGCCGTCAACGTTAGGCTGTCGGGCAACGCTACATAGTGGGCGATCAGCAGCAACGGCTCGTTAGTGAAAAATGAGAGACTCGTTTTGTATATCATGTGTGCACATCGGAGAGGACCGTTAAAAATCACCAGGCACCACATGGTATGCCCTGTGAGGACTGCACGTGGGCATGACCGTCGCCACGTGCCTGCTGTCCTGCGCTTGCCGCTCACCCGGCTTGTAGGGCACACGTGATGCGAAGGACGTGTCGCCGGTGTTGGTGGCGGTGACGGTGTCCGGCGCCGCGTGCGACCTGTGCTCGCTGCGCCCGCGTCCGCCGCTGGTCTGCTGTCCTGGGCCGGACCGGTCCGAGCCGTCTGACCGCTCCCCTCACCGGCAGCTGCTGGGCTCGATCACGCTGTCGAAGCGGCTGCGGTCGGGCCGCTCGCGCTCGGGCCGCACCAGCGACCCGCGCCGCCGGCGCCGCGGTACCGGCGCCCTGCCCGCCCCCGGTGCGTACTGACGCGGCCCCTGGCGGCCACCGACGCCGCTCGCGGCCGCACGCCAACGTACGATGCGTCTCAGAAAGTTCACGAAAAGATGCCCGAGTTGTGCATAGATACGTTTAGTCTTACCGTTGGTTTGGGATGGTCCAAAGCATTGGATGTGTGTACCTCGCAAATGGGTCCGACATGCTGTCCCAGAGGCTGGTTTGGGCCCCACCCTGCGCGTGTGATGGCCAGCTCGCGTCTGATGGCCAGCCCGCGTCTGACTCACGCTCGCCGACGGCCAGGCGTGGAGGCAGAGAGCGGCGGCTCGGTGCAGGGTCGTGACAACGCCAGCTACGTGGACTCGGAGCCGGAGGAGGTCGGCGCCGGCCGCGCGCGCCGTCGCTCGCACGAGGACGACGGTCGGCGGTGAGTGGCGCCACCGGTCTGGCCGCTGCCTGGGCCCCGCCTCCGCTGCACGTCGTCAGGCACCTTGTAACGTGATGTTTCATACCAGGGTAGTAGTGTTTAGTTAGCTGACTGATTGAACGAGCTGTCTGATTTGATGAATGCATGGCAACAGGGTTTTTGTAAGTTGCTGATGATTGGGGTGGGCTGTTGGTTGCTTAATGTGCCCTAACCTGCCCGATTCGCGTATGGACACAGGCACCAGTAGTTTTGTCTGATTCGACATGGGTGCATTTCTCGTACGCCTGTTGCTTTTTATGCCACCGAGCGTGACAGAAACATTGCCGGTGGCTAAGCTGCGCTTGTATTGGTGTCATGCATACTTTCGTCTCAAAACGCGAGCCCCAGCCGCTGTCTGGTTGTGGTGTCGGTGGGTCGGAGCGTGTGTTCGGTGTGCTGACCGGTGTCGGCTGAGCCGCCGCTGACGCGCGCCGGCCGCGCAGGTCCGCCGCCTCCAGCCGGCGTGCGGCCAGCCGCCAGAGCCGCGGCCAGAGCTCCAACGTCTCGTCCGGCTCGTCGATCGTCAACCTGCGCCAGCGGCTGCTGGGTGACGTGGCCGAGTTCGCGCGCGCGCGCCGCAAGGCGCCGCGCGACGCCTCGCCGCCCTGGACGGAGGCGGCCATTGAGCTCGCCAAGCTGGCGGACGGCGGCGGCGCGCGCGATAACCAGGCACTTGTCAGCGTGGCGGTGCAGACGGCACCGGCCGAGCCGACCGGCGACGGCCGCGCCAGCCTCACGCTGCACAACGACCTGCACGGCGGACCGCCGCCGCCCGACCGACTCAACAACGGCCGCCGCAGCCCCTACACCAAGAACGCGCAGCGGCTGTCGCTGCCGCTGGAGCCCGAGCCGGAGCCGGACGCCGAGAAGGCGCTCAACGCCAGCCGACGCTCGTCCGGCTCTGGCGGCGGCGCGGCTCCGCCCGAGCCGGACGGGCCCCGGCCAGAGCTGGTGTGAGGCCGGCAGAGGTCCCGGACGGGCGCCGGACGCGGCGCGGCGCGGCGGTGCGATCAAACGCGGTCCGACAAACGCTGCGGTCTGAGCTGGCCGGGACGGCTCCGAGGTGACCGAGGAGGCGAGCGGGCGAACTCCGCCAGCGCGTGTGCTTGCTCGTGTGTGTGATGACTGGGAGCGACTCGTGCCCTGGTCGCAGTGACGCGTTGAAATATGGACGAACGCCGTTTGGAACGCGTGATTCCGACGATCGGCGGCCGTGGACAGCGACTCGTCCGCGGGGTGGGGCGAGCGGCCTCCGGCCCGGCCGGCGTGTGGCCGGGCGGCAGGCTGGATTGCCAAGAGCATCTCATCTCGATCTCAGCTGGAGACCACCGCCAACACAGGCGATATTATCGCGGAACACGCGCGTCGACTCTCCGACGCCGTGTGGAGCGTCCGCACTGTTCGCGGTGCACTAGTGCCAAGACCCTCGGTAGCCGCAACGGCGTCGTGCGATGTGCCTTATGTATTAGGTGGCATTCCGAGCGTTTTTACCTCCTGATCTGCACGTGCTTGTGAATATGTAGTGTCCTTTCTAACCGGCGAGGCGGGAAATTCCGTCTTGGACGCGTTGTCACGCGAACGTTTGGATCGTTGTGAATGTGTGGAGGTTGGCAGGGTGTCGTGCTGCACTGGCAAGATGCTAGCGCCCAATATACTGCCGGTATGAAGACGTTTGCCAGACGGGTCTACACTACTTGCACCCAATGTTTGGTTTGAAGAAGGCATTTGACAAAATCTGGTGCGAACGGCATTCTGGTACTGTCCATGTCCCGTAGTCTGGACAAGTCGGAATGCGGGAAAAACCACGCGGGAGTATTTTCATCTCTGATTTGGGCCCGGACCAGCTGGGGTCTCAATTTCCATTCAAGCCATCCAGTTGCGAGTCACCACTCTCCAGCGGCTGGCGTAGGCCGGCTCGGTCGGAGGTCCGACGCACGTTGTGCCGATGCGTGCCACTCTTCACTTCACAGCGCGGCGTGCGATATTCGGGCGGACTAGTCTTGCACCAGCTTTGCACGTTGCCCCACTTCCACGAGCCCGCATAGATATGCATCTTGGGCCAGCCTCATTGCGCACGCTTGCGTCCATGGGGCGAGTAATGGGTCAGCTCCCGGCAGCCGTCTGTGGTGCATACATTACAGGAGGCCCTGCCGGGCCTGCTCCATGCCTTTTTTATATCGATTTGAGTGCTCCGGCCTGCAACCGACTGAGGACAGGTCCACATCGGTCGGGTGTGTGCTGGTAGCGGCACAGGCGCCCGTGCTCGCCGCTCCGGAGCTCGTGGGCGAGTCGCGATCAGCTCGTCGCCAGCAGCTCTTTTGTCACGACACTCATCTGACTTTCTCCGCGGATTGGTAGTATTTTCCGCAAAAAGCTGCACTGCGCTGTTATAAACTTAAAGCACTGTACCGCCGTCAGCCACGCTACGTAAAGTGGTCTATCCACGAGGTTCATATAACTAGGTAGTGGTCAAACGAGTCACTTTTAGCCATGGTTTGGTAGATTTCGAAGGTGTTCCGCATGCCATCGAATAAACAGCAGGCCAGCAGGCTTTATTGAATGTGCAAAACAACACGGCAAACATACGCGCAACGAAAACCTCTCCAAACATCGTGTACAAATACGTGCGTTTGAAGTAAATCCACAGCCACAGCACGGTATCATAAAATAACCCACCAGGTTGCAAAGCACAGCTCCACAATGACTGGAAGACGTCTCCGTCACCACCACACTTGCCTGGCGGTCGGCTGGGGGGGGGGGGGGCGCACGGCAGCCAGCGCCCTCTATGTGCGCCCTCAGCGCGCAGTATTCGCGGCAGGGGTCAGGCCGAGTCCGCCGGCCAGCGGCTAGACGGTCAGCTGGCGGTCGAAGGTGAGGATCTGCTTGGCGCCGACGCGGCCGCCACCGGGCATGGTACGGCTCACCGCCTGACGCCAGTCGTCGATGTGGACCAGCTGGTAACGCGGCGCCCTGCAACACGGCCACGCCCCATTACGGCCACCAGCAGCGGCGCGCGCACGGCGGTCAGAGGTGCCCTGCAACACGGCCATGCCCCGTCATGGCCACACCCCTCAGCTACCAGCGGCGCGCGCACGGCGGACAGGGGCGCCCTGCAACACGGCCACGCCCCATTACGGCCACACCCCATCAGCTACCAGCAGCGCGCGCACGACGGTCAGAGGCGCCCTGCAACACGGTCACACTTCATCAGCCACCAGCAGCACGCGCACGGCGGCCAGAGGTGCCCTGCAACACGGTCACACTTCATCAGCCACCAGCAGCGCGCGCACGACGGTCAGAGGCGCCCTGCAACACGGTCACACTTCATCAGCCACCAGCAGCGCGCGCACGACGGTCAGAGGCGCCCTGCAACACGGTCACACTTCATCGGCCACCAGCAGCGCGCGCACGACGGTCAGAGGCGCCCTGCAACGCGGTCACACTTCATCAGCCACCAGCAGCACGCGCACGGCGGCCAGAGGTGCCCTGCAACACGGTCACACTTCATCAGCCACCAGCAGCACGCGCACGGCGGCCAGAGGTGCCCTGCAACACGGTCACACTTCATCAGCCACCAGCAGCACGCGCACGGCGGCCAGAGGTGCCCTGCAACACGGTCACACTTCATCAGCCACCAGCAGCGCGCGCACGACGGTCAGAGGCGCCCTGCAACACGGTCACACTTCATCAGCCACCAGCAGCGCGCGCACGGCGGCCAGAGGTGCCCTGCAACACGGTCACACTTCATCAGCCACCAGCAGCGCGCGCACGGCGGCCAGAGGTGCCCTGCAACACGGTCACACTTCATCAGCCACCAGCAGCGCGCGCACGACGGTCAGAGGCGCCCTGCAACACGGTCACACTTCATCAGCCACCAGCAGCGCGCGCACGACGGTCAGAGGCGCCCTGCAACGCGGTCACACTTCATCAGCCACCAGCAGCGCGCGCACGACGGTCAGAGGCGCCCTGCAACACGGTCACACTTCATCAGCCACCAGCAGCGCGCGCACGACGGTCAGAGGCGCCCTGCAACACGGTCCCCCCCCCCTTGGCGAGACGACTCACACGTGCCGTCACCGTGACATAGCACGCTGCGCTCATTCATCACTCAAGTAACGGTCACATGGTTTGAAAAATTCATGGCGCCTCAGCCGTGGCCGCGTGGACTTCATCGTGGCCGCCCCTGTCACGATAGCCGGTGACGAATGCGCAATGTGACCACGCACGCCTTATTGGTCTCCATATCCGCCTCACGGTATATGTAGTCCTTAGCCGCCTTATTGGACCATCGGCACGTGACCTGGAGAGAACACACGTCAGGGTAGTACGGACATCATTGCCCCCGAACATGCAATGCATTTATCAGCATACTCAAACGTGCTGTGTATGGTTGCATATCGTTCGGAATGTTTTTCGTTTTCATGGGCTTTTATCTTGTCCCATGCGTGTTGAGACATGCGTGCGAGCATGACAGAAGGGGGGGGGGAGATTTTGAATAGGGGTCTTTCCATGCATCCCCATGGAGACAACGTCAAACGTTTCCCAACAGCGGGGCTACGCACCCAGCCGTCCGTATTCCTACGCCCATACAGTTGCTGTTTCTCGTGTAGCGTCTTGTTTTACTTTGGACTGCACCCCGTGACTGGGATACAGCCACATGTTGCGATTGCTGCCTTAAAGGACTGGCTTGCTCTCAGTTGGACAGCGCAACAGTGGGATGCCCGGCGTCGGTTCGATAATCAGCTGCCGCTGCTGCAGAGACAGACCCCACCCTCGGTGCAAGCAAAGGCATCCATGCTTCATCAATCAATGCCTACCGATGTTTGTAGAAGCGCAGCGTAATACAGTCATCGGAATCATAACCAAAACAAGCACCGCACCAGTAGATCTCCACCCCATGGTCAGCTCCTCATCCCTCCCCTGGTGACACACAAAGCCAGTTACCCGACCCTCTCCTGGTGACACCCGCAGCCAGCCCCCCCCCCCCCCCCGTCCCTCCCCCGGTGACACCCACAGCCAGCTCCCCGCCTCTCTCCAGAAGATGCCCGCAGCCAGCTCCCCCGTCCCTCCCCTGGTGACACCCACGGCCAGCTCCCCCGTCCCTCCCCTGGTGGCACCCACGACAAGCTACCCCGTCCCTGCCCTAGTGACACTCACACCCAGCTCCCCGCCCCTCCCCTGGCGACACCCACACCCAGGTCCCGTCCCTCCCCTGGTGACACCCACACCCAGCTCCCGTCCTTTTCCTAGTGACACCTGCTCGCACCTCAAGTACTTGTGCTCGCACAGCGTCTGCAGCTCGTCCAGCATCTCCCAGCGGGCGCGCGCCACCGAGTGCTGGCGCGTCCAGCGCGTCATCCAGAAGGCGCGCACGCGCAGGTCACGGAAGATCAGCTGGGCGGTGGGCACGGTGAGCGGCGCGCGGCTCATCGCGCCGTACGTGACCAGCGTGCCGGAGGTGGCTAGCTGGCGCGCCACCTCCGTGGCGGAGGCGCCGCCCACGCAGTTGAGGCCCAGTCGGGGCTTAGGCAGATCACCGGACCGGAACAGTGGCGTCGTCCTGGGGACGGACGACCGGCGAGGTCACACAGCGGAGAGGGAGTGGTCACACAGGGACTGTGTGGTGCGGTCACACGGCGGAGAGGGAGTGATCACACCGGAACTGTGTGTGGTGCGGTCACACGGCGGACAGGGAGTGAACACACAGGGGCTGCGTGTGGTGCGGTCACACGGCGGAGGGGAAGTGATCACACCGGGACTATGTGTGGTGCGGTCACACGGCAGAGGGAGTGATCACACCGGGACTATGTGTGGTGCGGTCACACGGCAGAGAGGGAGTGATCACACCGGGACTGAGTGTGGTGCGGTCACACGGCAGAGGGAGTGATCACACCGGGACTGAGTGTGGTGCGGTCACACGGCAGAGGGAGTGATCACACCGGGACTATGTGTGGTGTGGTCACACGGCAGAGGGAGTGATCACACCGGGACTATGTGTGGTGTGGTCACACGGCAGAGGGAGTGATCACACCGGGACTATGTGTGGTGTGGTCACACGGCAGAGGGAGTGATCACACCGGGACTGAGTGTGGTGCGGTCACACGGCAGAGGGAGTGATCACACCGGGATCGTGCGCTACTACTGGGGTCCGAATCAGCACGACTGTAGGCAACAAGAGAGATGTCACGACGCCACGGGGATCATTGGGCCCCGACTGCCCTCGCTGACAACCCCGGCAGTTTGTGTCATCAGACAGCGGTGGCGTGCGGGAAAGGGGCCGGCCACTGGCACAAGGAAAACAATCGATTTCCTGGACGGTTACACGTTCAGGGACAACACAGCCAAGCCGACGTCAGGCTGGCGATAAAGGACCACAACGGTTCCCGGTAGTAGCAGGACGCTGGCTACTGTGCTCTACACACGAGTCGCGTTTGATTTGGCCAACGTCCAAAGCTGCAGGAGTCACAACCAGGAATAGCGACGGCTAGAACCCACTGCTGACTGAGGCCAGATAAAATTATTTATTTCGGCCGCATAACAAGTGGGTCAAATTGGACGTGGCAGACATAACAGACCAAAATCGTGCCTACCAGGTGGAGCAGAAAGTGGCAGTATAACCCAGTTTTGCACAACTTCAGCCGCCTGAAACACCGGCCCGGCCCTCCCCCCCCCCCCCCATCTTTTTCTCCTAATTGCTACTACAAACCCTTTTCAAGTCTGACTTGATCATGGCCTGAAGACAAGTACAGGGCTACTCTTCTGAACAAGATCTGCCAAAACATCCCACGTGGAACACTGAACCCCGCTCGCCTGTCGGCCGCGCTCCGCCCAGCTGGCGGCCACCCCGGGGCGCCGATACATTCCGACCCGGCGGCGCGCCGACCCGCCGCTCCCGGCGATCCCCGGTACCGAGACCGGGCGAGGGGTGCTGCTGACGCACGGCACGGGCCGGCCGGGTGAAAAGGGGGGGGGGGGGGGCTCTGCCAGACAGCTGGTCGGCGTCCACTGCGGCGATCGACCACGGACTGATAGCACGGTCTGGCGAGGCCGCTAAGAGCAGCGATGTCCAACACGTGGAACACGTCAAAGCAATCTTATGTAGACAGGATACAGTATCGGGCGCTATCTTCGAACAGCGGTAATCTTTAAACAGCGTTACACATCAAACCGCGGCAAGTGACATCAGCTACCTCCCTCCGTTCTTTGAAGCTGGGTCAGAAAATGACCAGCCGTCTGACTCCTCTGCAAACGCCATTTAATAACGTCATTCAAAAATGTGTTTACGGTGCTTTAGCATCGCCGTCATTAATAGCATTGTCGTAATAGCTGACAACATTAACATGGAGAACGATCAGCGCTCTCGACGAACTCCGCGTCGCCGATCCCTCGGTCCGTTGAGAGCCCAGGTACGCCGGTCAGCGGCAGTCGGCCGCTCAGATGACACCCTTCCCCGCCTCTCCCCTAACGACACCGAAGATAGCGGCCCTGCTGTGAGACCCCAGGTACGCCGGTCAGCGGCAGTCGGCCGCTCAGATGACACCCTTCCCCGCCTCTCCCCCAACGACACCGAAGATAGCGGCCCTGCTGTGAGACCCCAGGTACGCCGGTCAGCGACAGTCGGCCGCTCAGATGACACCCTTCCCCGCCTCTCCCCTAACGACACCGAAGATAGCGGCCCTGCTGTGAGACCCCAGGCCTGCCGGTCGGCGGCAGTCGGCCGCTCAGATGACACCCTTCCCCGCCTCTCTCTCCAACGACGCCGAAGATAGCGGCCTTGCTGTGAGACCCCAGGTACGCCGGTCAGCGGCAGTCGGCCGCTCAGATGACACCCTTCCCCGCCTCTCCCTCCAACGACGCCGAAGATAGCGGCCGTGCTGTGAGACCCCAGGTACGCCGGTCAGCGGCAGTCGGCCGCTCAGATGACACCCTTCCCCGCCTCTCTCTCCAACGACGCCGAAGATAGCGGCCCTGCTGGGCGGCCGCTATCAGGGGCCGCAGGGACAGGGAGCTTTAATGTTGGCTGCGACATGGTTGCGGCTGTAAATAACGTTGATGGAATGGACATGCAATACAAGACAGTGTTATTTATAGCCGCAAATTAAGCCGTTTGTATGCCACCCAGGTGTTCAGGCAGCGGCGCTTACATCACTGAGCTGACTCGTTTGAGTTCCACGGCGGACTTTAAGAGTTACGAGTCGCCACATCATAACGCAAACTCCAGTCAGCGGATGACCCACAGCCGGTGGCGACGGTGACCTACAGCCGACTTGAGGCGGTACTCACCGGAGCTCCTCCTCGGTCAGCACCACGGTGGCGCCCAGGCCCGTCAGGTGCTGCCGCACCTCCTCCAGATCCTCCCGCGCCCGCACCACGTTCACCGACCGGTAGCCGTAGACGCGACACAGCTGAAACACAACACCATCACCGCGGACTGGTCACCGTGACCCATCACAGCCGAAACACGGCGCCGCCTGCTGCCGCTCAATACTCGCAGCTGAAATAAACCGCGCCGTTCGCTGAGCCGTCCCGCACGCGCGACAGAGCCCAAGACAAACACCGCACGCAGAAGTCAACATCGAACAGTGCGACTTGGGCGACGGCCGCTTCCACTGGAAGGGGCGGTGACCGGCAGCGTGCGCCGGACATCGCGACACGAACCACGCGTCAGCTGACAGATGACAGACGCCGCCGTGACGGCTGTCACGGCTGCCGGTCCGCAGGTCGAACAGGACAAATTCCAAATAGATCCGGCGATGATCAGAGGCCTAACGCGCTGCCAAGGCCGGGAACCAATGGACCTCGTCATTCAGGGCGTCCCGCCGCAGCGACCGGCCTTCCCGCATTGACAGCGATGATGCAATCGTGGCGTACTTGCCAACTACACAGCAACAGACGCACGAAGTGTCATCATCACCCTCTTCTCGTCCAGGCCACACGCGCATTTCCATCGTGGCACTGTTATGAAAGTTGCCGTCGCCCACACACACAAGAAAGTAGAAACGGCTTTGAAAGGGGCATCCTCTGAATGACACCACCGTGCACCTACCGAAGGTACACCAGCCCACCAAGCGGGTCGATCTCAAGCAGACACGAGTGACAAGGCACGTGCCAACCCACGCCCGGCGGGCATGGGGAACTCCCGCCGACAGCACTTCTCAAAGGTCACGCGGCGCCGCCTGACCGCGGCCGCCATGACCGCGGCCGCACCCGTGAAGCATCACGAACGCTCTCCCAGCCGACAGCGCCACAGGTCACGGCGGAGGGGGGGGCTGCGTGCGGTGCTCTCACCTGTATCACCGCCTGGCCGACCGCGCTGTTGGCGCCGTTCTGTATAACGACGTCGTCCTCCTCCAGCCGCACGAAGTCGTGCAACATCCGGAACGCGGTGCACGGGTTGACGGAGAGCGTGGCCGCCTCCACCAGCGGTACCGTGTTCCGGATCTGGCACGCAGAGGACCCGGCCGGTGACGGCAGGCCGGACGCCGGAGCGGGCCCGCTGCCAATTTTGGCAGTCTGACCGAGCGCCCGATCGGGGCGATCTACGGTCACGCGTACCGCGAGCGGGGGCGCGGCGGACAGGGGGTCGGTCGTCGGCGGTCGACGGTCAGCGGTCAGGGATCAGCGGCCAGCGGTCGGGGATTAGCGGTCAGCGGTCAGAGAACAACGGTAAGCGGTCAGCGGTCAGCAGTCAGCAGTCAGCAGTCAGCAGTCAGCAGTCAGCAGTCAGCAGTCAGCAGTCAGCAGTCAGCGGTCAGCGGTCAATAGTCAGTGGTCAGCGGTCAGCGGTCAGCGGTCAGCGGTCAGCGGTCAGCGGTCAGCAGTCAGTGGTCAGTGGTCAGCGGGCAGCAGCCAGTGGTCAGCGGGCAGCAGTCAGTGGTCAGCTGTCAGCGGTCAGGGGTCAGCAGTCAGTGGTCAGTGGTCAGCGGGCAGCAGTCAGAAGGCAGCTGAGGAGGTAGACAATGACATCACATACTACGAAGTGCCTTCTTAACGTTTCATAGGAAGTTCGGTTTTTCATGAATGTTTTGGATACCTTCGCACATCTTGGACACAAAATTCAAAGCGGTTGCCATACCACACTTTCTAAGTGCCTTTACCACTTCCAGTTACAAAAGCTACGCAAAAAAGGATTTGTCAAAGGGGGTACTGAGTGCCGAGCCCGAGTCCAAACATATCATTACGTTCACCATGAGCCCCCCGGGAGCCAGACATGGTAGTGCAAGTGTTTACGCCAATTAACGACTCCAACAAATTGACAGATGCATGTACCGTCACGGCTGGCCTGCTGGCGGAGCATGCCACGGGCGCCGGTCTCCACAGGCAACAGGGTGACGCCGACAACGGAGGCCTGCTGGCGGAGCATGCCACGGGCGCCGGTCCCCCACAGGCAACAGGGTGACGCCGACAACGGAGGCCTGCTGGCGTTCAGCCGCCCTCAGTTTAAACGGTGACTGGTGAACGCTGGCAACGCACGCCAGGTCAGGGGAGCACGAAAAGTGCCGCCTCATGCAGAAGAGATAGGGCATCCCATGCAGAAGAGATACAGCGCTCCGTGCAGAAGAGATACGCCGCCTCATGTGGAACAAATGCGGCGCCCCACGCAGAAGAGAAACGCCGCCCGAGGCAGAAGTGTTCCAGGGTCCTAAAACGCAAAACGCATGTGAAACGTTTCTGTGAAGCACGTTTGTGTTTTGTTTAGCTTTTGTGGAGGGCGCCACGGCGTATCCGGCCGACGCTTCTGCGCCGATGTGGGCACCCATGTAGGTATTCACATAAACTCAGTCCTCAGCTTTAAAATGCACGTCCTGTGCCCGGGGGAAGTGGTCAGATCGGGCCTCTGTCCTGCCCTGTCGCCCTCCCTGCCCCTCGTGTCTTCGACGTCCATCACTCCCCACATCTGGCGCCGCTTCTGACAAAGACCGGGATCAGTACCCCAAACAGCCAGTGACCCTGGTGTCTGAGCCCCAGCGTAAACACGGTGCTTGGTTTGGATCTGATGCACAAACAACAAACGACCCGTGCAACAGCCCTTCACGTCCGCACCACCCAACGACAATGGCTGCTATCGAATTCAGGATCGAAAGAAGCATCGATGCGGAATGTCGACAGGTGTAAAGCCCACGAGGAATCGTCAGGACATTGTGTATAATGAGACAGGCTTCATTATAGACCGACAATGGGCTGCAAACGGCACCGTTCAACTTGAAATGGACATCAACAAAGTGCACCGCCCGACTGCGACTGTCCACAGGACACAGGACCCAAACTCCGGCTAGAATTCCCTGAATCTCCTGCGCCCGAGCCACAGCGTCTCACCCACGCTGCGCACGCGCCCAGCCCTGAGCGTGCACCCGATGGTCGCGCGGGAGCACGCGCTGCCATGCCGGCCCCGCCGACAGCGTGCACCGTCCGACCCGAGCGGCTGGGTCGCCGGGGCCGGCGCTGACCGACGGCCAGCCGGCCGCGCCGCGCCCAGCGACCGGGCGGCTCCGGACAAGGCCGCGCCGGGCGGACACGACTGCGAGCTCGCCGGCAGCCGGCGCCGATAACGCCCACCCGGCCGCCGGTTGGTGGACGGCGGCCCGCTGTGGTGGCCACGCGTCCCGGCCCGCGGCGGGGGCGTCGGTCGGAGAGGAGCCCCGGCCACCAGCTGATGGACGGCGGCCCGCTGTGGTGGCCACGCGTCCCGGCCCGCAGCGGGGGCGTCGGTCAGAGCGGAGCCCCGGCCACCAGCTGATGGACGGCGGCCCACTGTGGTGGCCACGCGTCCCGGCCCGCAGCGGGGGCGTCGGTCGGAGCGGAGCCCCGGCCGCCGGCTGAAGGAGGCGCGTCGCCGCTGCCAGTCGGCGCCGCCCCGGCCGCAGACAATGCTCCTTACTTTCTGTGAGGGCATCAGTAGAGAGACACGACCATCGGAGCCAGTGCTGACGTACACTCGAGCGCATGTCGCCACCAATGCAAACACGCTAACAGGGATACGCACTTGTACCACGGACACGATAAGGTGCTGTCTTATAGGGAATGTGCCACCCAAAAACGTTTTCTGACTTGTTGATCCTAATTCCTAGGGGGAGCAGAAGATTCTAATTTATAAAAGGCAGCGCTTCATCACCAGCAAATCCCGAACACCAACATCAAACGCTACCAATCATGGTCCTTGTTTTCTGTAGCAATGCTACCGGCTAGAACACAGAACAATTATTTGTCGGTAGGCTAAATCCGTCTTGCGGCCATCAAAAAAGCCTGTGACAGCACGTAAGGCGGCAAACATCTGCAGTGCCGATGCAGCGTCAGATCCGTGCAAACGCCCTCCAAAAAGGGAACACAATCGAAGGATCTACGTACAACTTCCACCAAGGGGTGGAGAAGCTTCTCTCCTCCCTCCCCTGCCACGCCCCGGTCCAAAGCAGTGTTACAGCACATAGGCGATGTCATCCACTCTTGCGACGCATTCGCATGACACCTTCAGCACTCGGATTGATCGCTCGTTTATTTTGCTGCTCCCTTCTCTCTTGTTTCAATCGTGCTGCAGCAACATCGTGCGAAAGATCACCTCTTCGTTCTCTCTGGCTCTGTTGCCTGGTTTCGAAGCGCTCACTTCCGCCAGGCTTCGTCGCCCCTCCCCTCTTTCCCCCAGTATGAGAAGTTGGCCTGGCCTAACGAACAAGGCGGACCTAAAAAGAATGACACGACTACTGAACCAGACTCTGGCCCAGCCAGCGACGCCGACTGCCCACCATCTGCGGGCGACGACACTATGCTGACCTCTGTGCGACCTCGGCGCCCTCTCGCAGACATAACCAGCTGTCCGGTTCTGCTGCTGGCCCTCGCTCGCCTCTGCCCAACGCCCCTGGCAATGCCCTCCGCTCGCAAAGGCTCTCCGGTGTCCAATCTCCGGGTCCAGCTGTCCTGGCGCCGATTCATGCCCCACCGTGGTCCGCGGACGCCAGGCCTCTGAACATGTCCAACTACAAGCTCGGCTCTTGCGGCGGCGCACAGCCGGCTGATGGAATGCTTCTCTGCGAAACTTCGACGTGTTCTGGCCACGCAAACGGATTCAAGATGCGCGAAACATTCGATCGAACCTCTAAATCGAAGCACCAGCCAGCGATTCCGAGTCATCAAAACCAACGCACAGATCACGACCCTGATCAGCAGAAAATTTTTTCAGACAACCCCTCCTCTCTCCTCTCCTTCCCCTCCCCCTGTATGCGACATAGTCCACATGTTCTCTGGAATGCCGCCAACACCCAATACGATGCCAGCGCTCCAAACGTACTGGAAAAGGCACCACTTTATTAGGCACCAAACGCACCACAAATTATATCTGGGGCATGGATAGGGACCGAGCAAAATCATGCAATGGCCTGAGCAGACCGAAATCCTCAGACGAAATCAGCTAGTCTTGTAGCGGTGGCGGACGTGGGGGATATGTCAGGACAGCTGACGGCGCGGCGGCTGACACCAGGGATGTGCCGGGACAGCTGACGACGCGGTGGCGGATGTCAAGGATGTGCTTGGACAGCTGACGGCACGACGGCTGACACCGAGGATGTGCCGACAGCTGACAGCGCGGCGGCTGACCTTGGGATGTGTCAGGACAGCTGATGGCGCGGCGACTGACACCGGGGATGTGCCGGGACAGCTGACGTTGGGGATGTGCCGAGACAGCTGACGGCGCGGCTGATGACGTTGGGATGTGCCTGGACAGCTGACGGCGCGGCGGCTGACACCGAGGATGTGGCCGGACAGCTGACAGCGTGGCAGCTGACAGTAGGGATGTGGCAGGACAGTTGTCGGCATAGCAGCTGACGTTGAGATGTGCCTGGACAGCTGACGGCGCGGCGGCCGTGCCCCGTGACACAGCCTCCGGTTGCTACGGGCGGGTCGGCCGGCTCCAGAAATACACAGATCGTGCCGGACAGCGGGTGGAGTGGCTTGCTGCCTCGTCATGTGGCCAGTTCATTAGCGAGGCATGCAAAGGCGGGCTAATTCCCACTCCCTCACCTTGCACGAGCGTCTGCCAAATGTGCCCAGTGACCGGTCCTCATTAAAAGTCTCAAAGGCGGCGTCCTCAACTCAGGGAAGCAGGACGCCTCCAATAATTAGGCTTACAACATCAATAGCAGTGCAGATTGCTGATGTTTGCCGGCGATGCTACACAGACCCAGAGGTTCCAGTGGCATGTGAGACAAAAGATCCCCTCCCCCCTTTAACAGATAAAGCACAGACACAAAAATGTATGAAGCAACTCAATTACAAGTGAATGCTAACGATACCACTGATAGGATCCCTGCGTGCTAAGCAAGACTCGTATCGAACGGTGGAAACCGATTTCCCGTGTTCAACCTCCACCCGCGTGGCGCCGCTGTGTAGCTATGAGACACCTGGACTCTGAGGTGAGCACAGCAGCTTACAGCCACGGGAAGAAAGGCGATGCT